CGGTCGTGGGGGTAACCTTAGGTGAGCTTGAAAAACTCATTTTTTTAAACAAAACAAAAATATATTTATCATTTCGGGTGACCTGGTGTTTTTTTAATGTTCCAGTTCAGGAGCTTCAGACATCCAGGTTGCTACTCCCCAAAGGGAATTGATCTATACCCTTATACATGGAAGAGACCCAAATCCTTGCAGAACTACATACATAGAATATAAGTCTCAAGGGGAAGGTTCACTTTTTCTTTATAGGAACACCACCCAATTCCATTGGTTTTCATTGCAAAGTAGGTTTTTTTCATTGTTCTACGGCACCAGTCGTGGGGGTAACCTTAGATGAGCTTGAAAAACTCATTTTTTTGCATACAATATAAAAAGAAATTTATCATTTCGGGTGACCTGGTGTTTTTTTAATGTTCCAGTTCAGGAACTTCAGACATCCAGGGTCGCTACTCCCCAAAAGGGAATTGATCTATACCCTTATACATGGAAGAGACCCAATTCCTTGCAGAACCACATACATAGAATATAAGTCTCAAGGGGAAGATTCACCTTTTTTTTATAGGAAACACCACCCAATCTCCATTTAGATTTTCATTTTTTTGCAAAGTAGGTTTTTTTCATTGTTCAGTTTTTTTACCATAGTTCTACGACACCGGTCGTGGGGGGTAACCCTTAGGTGAGCTTCAAAAACTCATTTTTTTAATACAATATAAAAAGAAATTGATCATTTCAGGGGACCTGTTTTTTTTGTTGAAACGTTTTAGGAACTTCAGACATCCAGGGTTGCTGCTCCCCAAAGGGAATTACGTATATAATATATACCCTTATCCATGAAAGGGACCCAGTTCCTTGCAGAATTACATACATAGAATATAGGTCCCCAGTGAACATATTCATCCATTTTTCCAGGAACACCACCCAATTCCGTTGGTGTTCATTGCGCATATTATTTTTTCATAGTTCTACGACACCGTTCGTGGGGGGCCCCCTTCGGTGAGCCTCAGAAACTCATTTTTTTAATACAATATAAAAAGAAATTGATCATTTCGGGGGACCTGTTTTTTTTGTTGAAACGTTTTAGGAACTTCAGACATCCAGGGTTGCTGCTCCCCAAAGGGAATTATGTATATATATATAATTACCGTTATGCATGACAAGGACCCAATTTCTTGCAGAATTGCATACATATAATATAGGTCCCCAGTGAAAATATTCATCAATTTTTTCAGGAACACTACCTATTTCCATTGGTGTTCGTTGCAAAACAACATGTTTTCATAGTTCTACGACACCGGTCGTGGGGGGGCCCCCTTCGGTGAGCCTCAGAAACTTATTTTTTTAATACAATATAAAAAGAAATTGATCATTTCGGGGGACCTGTTTTTTTTTTTGTTGAAACGTTTTAGGAACTTCAGACATCCAGGGTTGCTGCTCCCCAAAGGTAATTACGTAAATAATATATACCCTTATACATGAATGGGACCCAATTCCTTGCAGAATTACATACATAGAATATAGGTCCCCAGTGAACATATTCATCCATTTTTCCAGGAACACCACCCAATTCCGTTGGTGTTCATTGCAACATATTATTTTTTCATAGTTCTACGACACCGGTCGTGGGGGGCCCCCTTCGGTGAGCCTCAGAAACTCATTTTTTTAATACAATATAAAAAGAAATTGATCATTTCGGGGGACCTGTTTTTTTTGTTGAAACGTTTTAGGAACTTCAGGCATCCAGGGTTGCTGCTCCCCAAAGGGAATTATGTATATAATATATAATTACCATTATACATGACAAGGACCCAATTTCTTGCAGAATTGCATACATATAATATAGGTCCCCAGTGAAAATATTCATCCATTTTTCCAGGAACACCACCCATTTCCGTTGGTGTTCATTGCAAAATAGTTTTTGTCATAGTTCTACGACACCAGTTGTGGGGGGTACCCTTCAGTGAGCTTGAAAAAATATGTTTTTAAAACACATTATAAAAGGAAATTGGTCATTTCGGGGGACCTGTTTTTTGTTGAAACGTTCTAGTTGAGGAATTTCAGACATCCAGGGTTGCTGCTCCCCAAAGGGAATTATGTATATAAAATATATACCCTTATACATGAAAGAGACCCAATTCCTTCCAGTACGGATGATATTTTTATAATTCAAAATATTTTAGTGGGCTGAAAGTTTGAAACATGTCCTTTTATGTCCATTTATGCTGCAGTATGGGTGATATTTTGATAATTCAAAAGATTTTAGTGGGATGAAATTTTGACAAATGTCCATTTATGTCCATTTATGCTGCAGTATGGGTGATATTTTGATAATTCAAAAAAATAGTGGGATGAAATTTTGACAAATGTCAATTTATCTCCATTTATGCTGCAGTATGGGTGATATTTTGAGAATTCAAAAGATTTTAGTGGGATGAAAATTTGAAAAATCTCCATTTATGTCCATTTATGCTGCAGTATGGGTGATATTTTGATAATTCAAAAGATTTTAGTGGGATGAAATTTTGACACATGTCCATTTATGTCCATTTATGCTGCAGTATGGGTGATATTTTGATAATTCAAAAGATTTTAGTGGTATGAAATTTTGACAAATGTCCATTTAATGTCCATTTATGCTGCAGTATGGGTGATATTTTGATAATTCAAAAGATTTTAGTGGGATGAAAAATTGAAAACTCTCCATTTATGTCCATTTATGCTGCAGTATGGGTGAAATTTTGATAATTCAAACAAATCAAAAAAAAGCATCTTCCAGAATTGAAAAAATATTCTATGTACACCTCTGGGATATTCTATGTATACGTTTTTTTTCAATTCCTGAAGATGCCCTAAAACGTATTTTTTTTTCAATTCTATATTCTATGTACTAGTAGTTTCTTATATATATATGATATATATATATATATTTTATATCATATGTATTATGAATCTATTATATATATATTATATATATATTATATATGGTACATGACCTGGATATCTAATGTGATACAATGGGATATGATGAGGATTCATCCACTCTATATCATTTTTGGGAGGATGAGCGTCAATTTATCAGTTATATTGCTGTGAGAAGGGTGCAGGAAGAGGACAATGTCATCCCTCTGCACCCCTTTTGTGCATTCCCCAATGTAAACGCAACATTTAGGAAGTCAGCCCTTAGTCGTCCCTTTGATGTTCCGCCCAATGTGAACGCCACAAATCTTGAACGTTTTCTGGCACCACATTTAGGCAATATGTTTGGATAATGTTGGCCGGGCTTTCACGAAATAATATTTTGCTTCATGAAGTTGTTTGAGTTTGAATATGCAGTCCCCCAAACCACCCAACAATAGGCCACCAAATTTGATGGAATTGAAGGATGTGTATCCCACCTAGAAAGCGCTTCATGGTTATTGTTTTCCCCCAATTAGAGAGAGAGAGAGATAGATAGATAGATCGATAGATAGGTAGATCGACAGATCGATAGATAGATAGATCGATAGATAGATAGATAGAAAGATAGATAGATAGATGGATAGATAGATAAATATATAGATAAGATTAGATAAGATTAGATAAGAAAAGATTGGATTAGATTAGATTAGATAGATAGAGCGAGATAGATATAGGATATGGATATAGATATAGATACAGATATGGATTTGTCGAAATATAGGGTACCCCTCAATTTGATGCTTTCAAACCGGATCCCTGTGAAAAGGGTCATATATTGACGTAAATCATATTATAATCGAAAACCCACAGATTCATAGGGTTTAAGCAACACACATAGGATTTTCAACCAACCATCTCAAGGGGTGATATAATGGGAATATGCCGCTCGTAATTAATGGGTACATTAATAGGATCTGCATGGATCTGCAACATTCTGCAACAAAGGTGATGTAATGTGTTGATGCGTTTGAACATGGTGATTTAACGCCATTTTAAATAGGGATAAGGGTGATAAACCAATGGTATAGGGGTAGCCTAAATATTTTCAGACAAACCAATGCATATTTTGGTCAGTCTATGTATGCAGGTATTCAGGATCACCCAAGTCTGACCCACGCCCAAATACTGTAGATCCTTTGGTGGATTTGAAAAACACCATTCCATTTTGGTTTGTAGAAAGCCCCAGTAGGAAAGCAGCCGCCAAGCATGCTGGGTTCTTGCTTGTCTACAGCTACTTCATTTACCATTCATTTTGACCACCAAGAAGATTGAAAACCAGAAGATCCAAAAGCAGTGGAAACAGCAGGGGCTCATGCAAATAGCATCAAACAACATCAACTAACATCAAATAATCATCTGTGCTGCTTGAAGACCCTGACTCCCCGCAATCCCCGCAGAAATCACACCACTTTCGCGTCTGCTTTCGCGTATTGATCGCGCTGCGGGACAAGTGCTGTGGACTGTGGGATCCCAGAAGTCCAAAGGATTTAAGTTGGAATGACTTCAAGGTTGACTGGTTGGTGGTTTCAACCCATCCCCAGCAATAGGTATATATTATAGTTAAGTGTATATATATATATATCATTTTGCTTTTGGGGAAACAAAGCTGAAACCACCAGCCCATTGATCATCGGATCTGTCATGGTCAGAGGGCTGACAAGACTAGATACAGTAGCATACAGTAGCCCACAATTTTTTTGGGGCATTCAGCCAGCCCCTATTTTTCTGGCCAAGAGTTTCAACTCCTCCCAAATCCCAATAATTTGACAATTGATCACGTTTTGGGTGGGATTCTGACTCTGGGAACCCTCAGGTCCGAAGACTAAGGATGCACGTAGGCGGATCCTCGATTTCTCGAGATCCAGGCATCATCTGCATGCTTTGCTCGAAAACTCAACCTCTATATATAGTAGAAACCCCTCGAATTTTTCGAGGTGGACCTCACCAGTGCTTTGCTCAGTGGCTCGGCAGTTTTGAGACGTTTTCGTGAATGTTGCAGGTCGAGTCGTAGCTAAGATTGATTAAGATTGTATTTCTATATAAGTTGAATCACACAAAGCCTATAAGCAAAAACCTGCAGGCCTTGAATTAGACGACAGTCCTTCACGGATCATCGCGCAGGTCATGTCTGACCTTTCGGTCCTGAGAGAACCTTAGCACCAAAACGCGGGTGGACGCTCAGTCGAACAGTCATCAGACCTGAGCTCCGTCTCGACGTGAGCCATGAAAAATGTCCCGATTTCCCATCTGATGGGGTGATTGACAAGTATCTCTAGACATTGTTAGACAAATGCTTAGACAAATCCCCACATGAACCTGGTAGTATAGCCCCCTAGCCCTATACTCAACCCGGTGGGGTATTGTCTATGGCTCGACCAAACAGCAATACAAGCGGTGAGAGTTGACCCAAAAAAACATGAACTATACATGGAACCTTTCGAAGAATGGGTCTGAAAAGAAAGTATTTTATTCCATCCCATCGTTTATCATCTGTCTTCCCCATCCAAAAAATGCATAAAAATGCAGTAAATTGAGGTCAAGTCACATTCCTTTTGATATAGGACAATACAATATATGATACCTATACAATCCATATACATAATTCGAAATGCAGCCCCAAAAAGGTGTCCCAAAACATCCCAAAACAATATCAACAACACTCAACACAATCAAAAAAACACCAGAAATTCTGACGCATCAAAGAACTTCAACTTCAAGACATGTCAGAGGGCGCTTTTGAAGTTCCGCGCCTGGAGATATCTGGAGATATTGCCCAGTTGTGCTACACGCTACACTGCTACACCACGGTCTCCTTCATGTGCTCTGCTTCTTCCACCAGTGCCTTCAGCCTCCGGGAGATGACTCGAATCGACGCAGATTCCGAGGAAATCTACAGGACAGATCAGGAAAGCATCCAACCAGCGCTCCGATGCGTTGAAAATGCCAATTTTGACCAGGGTTTACCATACCCATTCCAAGCCTTCACAAAATCCAACTCTGCAAAATGAAGACTCATGTTTTAACATGTGTTAACATGTGTTAACATGTTTTAACATGTTTCAACCATACAAGTGTCCAGTGTTTTCTTTTAGCTATCAATGGTGGTGCACTCTGCGAGCTGGATGGCCGCTTTCGGGTGGAATCGTCCAAGGATGAGAACTCATCCCCTTTTACTGAACGACCCACGACCCTGAGAAAACAGCGCACCTGAAACATCCTGGGAAGGGACATATTTTTTTCACCTTGGCCCTTTGCCTCTCAAAGTGTCCATAAGTGTCCAGGCGCTTCCAAAAATCGTTGTGAAAGTTGATGATAAAAAACAACCATAATTTCTCTATTCAACATCGTTGTCAACGTATTAAAGTCAACGTCATTTAAAAACAAAGTTTTATAACTCATGCATGATAGTAGCAGAAGTTCCTTCGTTTTTTTGGGTCATCATCCCTTGACATTGCCACCACATGATTCGTAGCTTCGCTGACCTAGATACCCAGCAACATGTTATGTTTTTCGGTGCTGGTTTGCATATATCTAATATATTCTAAATTATTCTAATATCCCCTAGCAAAGAATTTAACAAACTCGCTGCATTGCACTCCCAAAGATTTAAAAACAGGCGAACTTCACCACTATCCATTTTTTACATGACTTGATATTTAATTTCAGTCACACTGAATATCATATTATATAGATATCTTAGATTCTATCAACCTTTTAAAGCGGATTCCAAAACGGATTTCTCTACAATCACCACCCAAACGCTGAACAACGGCCGTCGAAGCATCGTGCTGCGCCTTGGATGCTTTGCAGAGACAGGGGATGTGGCGTCCGCCTGCTTCAGCAAGTCTTGGAGATCCATGGCCTGGTGACGTTTTTTTGGACTTTCGACCATTGAGTCGCTACGAAACGGAACACCTATGACTCTTTGCGTGAAGCTTAAAGAAATCCAAAGAACGAGAGATTGGAAAAATGATGGGATTTTTGGTGGGATTTTTTAATGGCTGATATTAACCAAGACTTGGCCTATAAGATCAAACATAAGCAGGTTGAGTATGGTTTATGGTAGATTGCGAAAAGCGGACTCACTGTTTTGTGCCACTTCGAATGGTCCACTGGGGCTGCGGAGTACACATGCATGCACTGTGGTGACATGTTTTACCACAAGTCATACAGGCAGCCAAACCTAGCATATGGTGCGTATTTTGCTTGCACCCTCCTTAAAATATGGCGCCTTACAGTGCAACTTCATTTGAATTATTTTCTGTACGTTCTGCATTGCGTATTGGGCTCGGTTACGCATCTTCCGGTCCTAAGACCACATTGAAACACTTTGTACACGGTTTGAATTTCTTCACATCTGTGCTATTTCTCAACGTAGGACATTGGTCCGTTGAGTGCACTCTTTCTCCATACTTTGTGAGGTAGTACACCTCGTACTTGGCCTTCTTCTTGCTTTTGCATGGCCACAGTACTATGTCTCTGTACAGACAGCAAAGTGCCGTCCCTCCTACGCAAACACTCACTAGGTTGAAAGTCAAGCTGATGAGAAACAACAGCATTAACGTTTCAATCCCGGTGTTTCCCGGCATGATGGCTTTGCCGCCCCACAACACAGGTGTGTCCCCCAAGGTTTCCATTTCGTTTCACCCCGGAAGCGTGTTGTCGAACGCTAAGCTTTGAGCCGGTTTGCGGTTTCCATCGTTTGTTTTCGTTTTCATTCACAGAACCTATTGTTCTCATGTTTGTTTTCGACACGTGTTTGTCCAGTCCATCCTCAGTCAGGTCCACGAGTCCTATCAACTCGCATCCGTTTCGTACCAGTTCACCTGTCGCGAGGTGTTTTGTGAGGATGTCTGCGGGGTTCTTTGTTCCGTCGATTTTACCTATGATCACTTGTTTTGTTTTCACCAACTCTTGTATGTAAAGGTGTCCTACTGCTATGTGTCTCATCTTTCCTACACCTATTTTCTTTCCAGCTTGTATGGCTGCTGACGAGTCACACCAAATCCTCGGTGTGTCCAGTTTCATTCCAAAATCCTTTTCAGCTAAGTTTCGCACAAATACTGCAGTCTGGGCACAGTGCGTCAGGGACCTTATTTCAGCTTCCCCTGAGCTTGTCGCCGGCGTTCCTGGTTGGGTGTGTGATGACGATTCGACGAGTGTTCCTCCTACGAAAATCGCCTCACCGCTTGTGGAACGTCTGCTTTCTTGGTCTCCTGCCCAGTCACTGTCACAGTAGCAGTGCATCGGGATTCCTTCTCGGATGTCGATCCCCTCTGTCAACTTTGTCACATGCCCATAGTTCGTGGTTCCTCGAAGATACCTTCCCAGGACCTTCAGGTTGGCCATGTCGCATGCCCTTGGTTCCCGAATGCGTTTTGCCAATTCCTTGGTACTAAACTTTATGTCTGGTCTGTCCTGAGATAAGTAAATTGCGCTTCCCACACAACTGGCATATATCGCTTTCTGTTTCTCGTCCAACAATTTGTCCTGTGTCAGGTCAAGTTTCTTTCCTGGCACTGGTCCAGGCTTGGCATTTTCCAAACCCAGTTGTTTCAGTATCACCTCTACATGTTTCGCGTTTGGTTTCGTGATCACGGCTTCTTCGACATTGATCTTGGTCCTTCCAAGAAACTCTGAAGTTGTTTTACTTCCTACAAACGGGTATTCCATCTCTCCCATTTTCAGCTTGCAACCGTTCTTTGGAAATTGAATCATCAGCAAATCATTCAAAACTTTCTCGGGTCCACAAATGTCGAAATCATCTATGTGATGAATCAGCACTGTTCCTGTTTTCTCACATTTGTACACACATCCATCGATTGCTCCTCGCTGAAACTCATATTGTTCTGGTGGTAACTCTTTGGTGATTATTTCTTCTAATCTGTCTCTGTACTGTGCTGCTGCTGACTGACGTCCGTACAAGTTGCCATCCACTTGCCACAGGATATGTTCCTTAGGAACGTCCTTGAGTTCTTCTTGAACTTCCTTGGGCTGCAACAAGTACCAATCGTCGTAGTCTTCCAGCCATTCCTTAGGTGGTTTCATCATCACAGGTTGTCCTGTCTTGTCACCTTGGTCATTGGCAATCAGAAACGCTGATGTGAGATCTGCTTTCACTCGTGGTAGTCCTGTTGCCATACTGTAGACTTCCAACAGTTTTCTGGAACATCCATGTGGTGTCGGACAAAAATTGCTTGGTGCTTCCGACGTGTTTCTGTCATTGTCCTGTCCCTTTCGTTTGAAGTCCTGACATGTCAACCTTGACTTTGCAATTCCTTCACTAACTTTGTCTACCCATTTATGACCAAACACTGTTATTTCCTTTGGAATCAATCTTCCGTCTCTCGGTGTAAATGCTCCAAAGTCCTCGTTCAACTTCTTGATCTCCGTCTTTCGAGCTTTCTTTTGTTCTTCTTCTGCTGCTCCAATTTGGTCCAGGTAGTCCATGATGTTTGCCACCATTTCACTCTGGAAGTACTCCTTTCTCTCATCTAGCCACTTCTGAAACCATACATGGTCCTTGTTCACTGGCATATGGTATTTCTTCCTCATTTCTTCCGCATCTGGAACTTCACCGTTGCTGACTCCAGAAACCATGTCCTGAGACGCTGTGCCCGCTGCACTCATGTTGTCATCTGTTGGTGTGTCTATGCGGTACAGTTCAGGTTGTCCTGGATTCATTCCGGTGTCGCCCGGTACGGCACTAGAGGTTGTACCCTCTGCCAGTCGTGGCTTCTTGGAATCCTTTTCTTCAATCTCGATCCTCTCTCCTTCATCGTCCACCTGCATCTCTGGTGCTTTGTCTTCCTTCTTTGTGCTCTTCTGTGCTTTCCCTCCTTTCGGTGTACTTGGAGCTGATCTTGGTGCATTCCGCAATGGTGGTACAATAGGTTGTGGTATGTGAACCACCTTGGCTTTCGCCATTGCTTCTAGTCTGTCATCAAAGATCGGCTCGTTCTCTTGTTTCGATTTGTCCTCGAAATCATAGGTTTCCTGTCCTTCGATTTCTGGTGCCACAATAGCTTTCACCTCCGATGAGATTGCTTCCGGCTTTGTTTTCTCGATTCCCAACACTGTATTCCATGGGACTCCTCTCGCAACTTCCATCACAGCATCTTGGAACTGTGATCCAACTGGCAATCTTCGGACTGTTCTGAAACTAATAGCTCCGGCACTTGTCAACATCATGTGCTCATCTGAATTTTCTTTCTTTCCTGCATAGATTCCTTTTGTCCATCGAGGTGCAGATTTGTCTTTCACCTTTGGAAATTTTCCCATCACTGTCTCTCCAAATGGTATCAACTCACCCACGTAGTCTCTGCCCTTTATCACACGAAACGCTGTGGTCTTGCTCTTGTTGACATGAAACCTTGCCAAAGTCCATGCGCTGTGACGCACGATCCATGGGAACACGTAGTGCTCGGTTCCAATTTTCGTTGCATAGCTTTCAGACAGCTCACACAGCCATGTGCGAATCTTTCCAGCTATCAGTCCATTCACCATTTCTCCATCTGCAAGAGACTGTGAGCTATACCGAGGTGATTTCCGAATCTCTACTCTTTCTGGCATGAGATCCCTCACTCTGTCAAACAACTTGTTCATGGAATTTTCCTGATCTATTTGTATTGTCACTTTGTTCCATCCCAGATCTCTGATCCAAGCTGCCAACGCATCCCTTGAGTAGTACCCTCCTCCTTTTGATGGGACCACCATGGCGAAGGGATACTGGCTGTCCTTGCAAATTGCCGTCAGCACTGTGATCAGTCCTTTCTGCTTCTTTCCTTCGCTTCTATTCACCATCTCACCATCCACACTGAAGAACATGTAGTCGGAGTAGATGATGTGTTCTTTCTTGTCCTCCTTACTTCTTCTGTGAGGTGCATCTCGTCCTTGTCCTTTGATGCAAGTTTCACACCAAGGTTCGAAATTTGCATGATGAAGCCTGTGCTGCTCACGCTGTTGTGCACTCGGTGCCTTTGGTACATCTACCTCCTGTGCTTGTTCTTTCACTTCTTCTTCTTCATGAAGCTGTCTTTGCTCTCGAAACACTTCACGTTCGGCTTGGTCTTGATCAATTGGATCTGGTTGTACTCGATCTTCTACGTACACCCAATCCAAAAAGAACTCATCCATGTCTTGGTCTGGGTCACGTACTCCTTCAACTTTCTTTGCTTCTTCAATCTCTGCATCCTTCTTTTCAGGAATTTCAGTCTCTGGTTTCAATCTAAACCACGATTCTCCCAGCCATTCTCTGCCCATGTTCTTGGCAGATGTCTGTTTTCTTGTCCACAAACTCTGGTCTTCCACATGCGATCCATCTTCGGAGAAATAGATCTTGGTAAGTCGACCAGGTAGTAGTCGGTTGATTGGAACAGGAAGATCAGCCATCCGCTCTGGGCTGAATAGTTGGAATCGTGCTGTGTTGTGCACACGAACCACGAATTCTCCTTCCTCATTGGTCTCCATTCTCCAGGTATCAGGTTCCTTTTCTTCTTCAAACCTGACTCCTTTGACTGGTGCTATTCTTTGTGTTCTCAAATTTCCGTTTCCTGAACTTGACGAACTTTGTTGATCATGTTTCACTTTCAAATACCATCTCTTTCCATGCAATTCCAAAGGAATCCTTTCATTCTGGTTCGTAACCAAATAACAGTTGTTCTTTTCAAAATGCACGGCATGACCCTTTTCCACCATGTTGAAAACTGACAGCAAACTCTCTGCTGAGTCAGTCACAGTCATGTCCATCAGTCCTTTTAAGTTCCCGACTTCAATTTTGGGAGATTGCTTTCCATATATTTTGAGTGGGTTCCCTTGGACACCAAATAAAGGTTTTCCTTTTGTGGAATCAACCGGTCCAACAAAATCCCCATACTTGGCAACATTTTCACATGCTCCTGAGTCAACCAAAAGATATCTGAATTCATCGCTCTCAGACAATGCACTGACCTGAGCATCCCTGACAGTGAAACAGTATCGGTCATGTTCACCAAAATTGATGTTTGAAACCGATCCAACTCCGTTTCCACTGTTTGGGTTCTGTTTCGTTTGGTTGTTGTTGCCTTCGGTCTTGTTGGCGGTATTTCCCGTGGTGGTTGTGGTTTCATCCACAGATGATACCTTCCACCAACAGTTCTTTGCGACATGTCCGTACTTCTGGCATACGTGACATTTCTTTCCGGCATCAGGATTATTCACCTGACTTCCTTTGCCACCTTGTTTTCCATCACCTTTTCCTTTACCTGTACCTTTGTTTTCGTGTCCTTTTCCTTTTCCTTTGTCTTCTTTACCTTTGCCTTTTGCTCCACCTTTGCTACCTTTGTCGTTGTTCCAAGAACCTTTGTGTTTGCTCTTTCCTTTTCCTTTGTCATCTTTTCCTTTACCTTTGACCGCACCGATGTCCATGGGTGCTGGTCCTCCATCATCAACCTTGTTTGCCGCCTTAGTGATTCCAAACTGGGATCCTTGCGGTCTCTTCCAAACGTTCTTGTTGATGAGGTACTGCTCGATGTAGCCTCGAATCTTTGCGTAAGTGCCCAACGCGTCGCTGTGCATAAAGATGCTTTGCTGAAGCTCTGGAGGTGCTACATGCGCTAAGATCGAGACCTTTTCCTCTTCTGAGAAAACACTCTTGGAGGTTCGTTCAAACTCCCTTAGTTCTGATTCCCACTGATGGAGTGCAGTGCTCCAATTGTTCATGTCTTTTGGGAAATTGGGGTTACTCAAATGTCTTCTCCAAACCCATGCTTTGGTTCTGTACGATGGCTCAGACAGTCTGACCAGTCTGCGCCAAACCTCAAATCCATTGGCTGTGTGCAGTCCCTGACCCACTACATTCATCGTAGGCTCCGGACAGTACTGTACGAGAAACGTATACATCGCCTTGGCCAACAAATCCTCTTCGGGGGTTTGCATAGCATCATCCAAGGGATCCTTACTTTCCCCAAAAACTTTTCCAACATTTCAGGGTATTTGGGGTGAACAGTGGAACTCCATGCTACGAACACATGTTTAAACTTTTCCCATCCTTCTCTTTTACCATCCCAAACTTGCGGCTTTGGGACGTTGCTAGGGTGAATCAGTTTTGTCATTTCTACCCCAGCTGGTTGTGTGCTGCTTGCCTGTGCTTGCTGAGCCTGGGCAAGTTGTGTTGTTTGCTGTGCCAGCGCCTGTGTCCTTTGCGCTAGCTCCGTTTCAGTCCGGTTCAATTTGTCCGTCTGTTCTTGCAGTCTCGTTTCAGTTTCGTTCAACCGTCTTGCTTGACTTTCAAAACTTTGGTTCGCACGTTGCAAACCTTCCACCAATTGGTTTTGCTGCGCTTGCATTTGCGCGAGCTGTGCTTGCAACTGTTCTACCGTTGCCATCTTTACAGGCTATGGTACACGAGGCTATTTACACTTCTAGTGTGCACCAACCTCTGTGCCAGCCTAGGTGATACCCTTCTGACCACCTGCGTCCGGCCCAAGCCCTCGACTGGTCGCTTCCCCAGTTGCTACTCCAGGTACTCTTCGACCAGCTTGTAGAGCTACTGGAAGCTGTCTCGCTCCAGTTGCTTCCACGGTCCTCCAACTCCTCACGCTGGTAGTCCCGCTCTTCACGGTCCTCCAACTCCTCACGCTGGTAGTCCCGTCCTTCTTCTCGACCTTCTTGGTTTCTTTCGCGCGACCTTTCCTCTGAGGCTTTCTGGCTCCTCAGCTCTAGGTCCTGAACAGCTCGGGCGACTTCGGAGACACCCACTGAGCTGCTACTTGCCGCTGAAGACGCTTGCTCGGTCTTCGGCCTTTCCTCTTCTTCGGGCGAGTCGTCGACCTCCTCCTTGAAGTTCCCGAACTCGTCCACAGAGTACCACACGCTGGTTGCCGCGTGCGTTTCTTCTTCTTCTCCTACTTCTTCCTCTCCACGCTGCTCAGGCGGCGGCAGTGTGGTTGGCACGACCTGTGCCCTAGGTGCAACGAGTCCTTGTGCTACTCGTCGACCTCCTTCTTCCTGGGCGAAGGACTTTCTCGCCTTTCCACCCGGTGTAGACTGTACGACCTTGGCGAGGCTCGGGTAGTCCTTCTCGAACTTCCCCCACACGCGCTTGGTCGCTCCTCCTGCTTTGCTGTGTGTTGGCAGACCACCAACCACAGTCCTGTTCACGTCCAGAAACTCTGGTACTTCTTGTTCTGGAACGGCCTGAAGTCTCAAGCCTTCCACGTAGTCCAGCTCGTTGTGGTCCGGCCTGTTGGTCGTACCGCTGGCTGCTTCCACAGTGGTGTTCAGCAAGCCTTCTGCACGCCTTGCTGCCCCACGTAGTATCCGCCGCTCTATGGCTCGGGCGGACCTGGTTCTCTCTTGGGCTTTTCCTTGGCCCTTTGCTTTTCCCTTCCCCGTCTTGCCGGGGATTTGTCCTCTCGTCGGAGAGGTCCAGGTGCTGCTCCACACGCAGCTACCAGTCTTCTTCTCCTCGAACTCAACGAGGCGCAAACGCTGCTACAAGCACAGCTGTTTGCGGTGTTACCCGCCTCTTACGGGCGGTGTAAACCGTCTGCGGATGCCGGCCCTGATCGGTCAGGAACCAGCTCCGCTACCATGCGAAAAGCGGACTCACTGTTTTGTGCCACTTCGAATGGTCCACTGGGGCTGCGGAGTACACATGCATGCACTGTGGTGACATGTTTTACCACAAGTCATACAGGCAGCCAAACCTAGCATATGGTGCGTATTTTGCTTGCATAGATACATCTATACTATTCTATACTTAGATGAGGTTAAAAACCACATTGTAATTGGGAGGGCACCATCTTGTAGAAATGGCGGGCTTAGCTCACCAAAATGGGGATGGATAACTGTTGGAAATGATGGTTCAAAATTACACCCAATTATACAAACTACACATGCATCGTTTACCCAACTGCTTGAAGCATTATCCCAGTGATATGTTATAACCCTTTCCTTATATGGGATAAACACCACTAAGTCTTCATGGACTTACGAACCACGGATTGAAAAACTGTGATCACCAGGGCGAAAAAAGACCCTAAGCAGGATCCTCGGGACAAAATATTCATGCTCCAATACTTTGACCCGGCACTAGAAAACAACCTACCCCAGCCATGTTAGTTAGTACCATTACTACTGTAAAACTCATGGTTTATGAAATCAATCTTCACCTCCCAAAAAGTCTCCCGACGCCTTGTTGTGTTTCTCTTGCCCCTCTTGCTTCGCTTTGAACGCCTCCAAGAGATGCTTGAGTCTTGGATGATCTTTGAGCGCGCTGTTCCCCTGCGAAACGAAAACCCCCTTGTTGAGGGGGGGCCAGGACACACATTGTTTTCTCATCATTTCATGAGCATGCAATCGCAGCGGATCCCCAAATCTGAGACCAAACCATAACCCATTTTTCTCTCCATTTCTCTCGAGTGACTTTCCAATGAATTCAGAATCGTCAGAAAATCCTCACTTTTTGGCCGGTGAAATCCAGTCCGCGTCCGTGTCCTCATCCTTCGCCATGTCGTGAAGAAGAGGATGTGGAACCGGGGCGGTTGCTGGAGCCGCGACTGGAGCTGGAGCAGATCCAGCCATAGCAGCTACAACAGGGGCCTCAGTCAGCAAAAAGATAGGTGACATTGCGTACAAATACAATCACCAATCATGTAGCCGACTTCAGCTATGATCCCTCAAACGAATTGCAACTTGGTCGCGTCTTTTGCCCCATCGGCGGCCTTGGGCAGGGCGTTTGGGTTGGGGTTGAAGTGTTTAGTACTTGCATAGATGTTCAATTTTTTTCCACAACAAATTGCTTGAACGCTGGACCGTCAATACCCATGTGAACTTGTGACAAAAACTGACTTGGATTGAGATTGGCATGCTCAAACTTGTCCAGTCAGGACATCCAGAATCCATGACCTATCTTGACCTTGACCTCTACAGTACCTGATCTGTTTGAATTTTAGAAACTCATCCATCCACACTATTCCAGCATCAATCCCTGAATTGCGTTCCTCAAGTTCCGCCCTGCGTCTGGGGTGTCTTCAAAGAAAAAAACAAAACATAGTTCACCGAAAAAAATTGAAGTCAAATTTCCAACGCATGGACAGATGCAGCAACAGGTGCAGGAAAAGTCAGAGGAGAAAGAATCAGTAGAGAGAAAATCACATTGCGCGAAAAGGATCGAAAAGGATCGAAGAAGTAGGCACAGTCGCGAAACACTGTGTTTATCCAATGTTTTGGGGCTCCGGAGGGTCAAAAAGTACAGTAGGCTCGCTACAGCGGAGGGTGCGGAACCATCTGGCGGGATAATAAATCAAAAGCTGCGGCGCGAAGCACATTTGAAAGCCAAAAGGTAAAAACAAACCTCCTTCTCGGAACGCTTTTGGAAGTTGAGCTGTTCAAAAGTGCACGCAGCGGCGCGAAGCACATTTCCAAGTCAAAATGTTACAGGCACCACATGTTCGCACCACTTTTGTGGGTTCAAGCGTCATTTTCATGGCGCGTAATGGATTCTGCACCTTAACAAAGCGAGCTATACTTACTGAAGGTTTTGCAGCAGCATTTCGCGTGGGAGGCACAGTACAAGAGACATCTCTATCAGACATGTTCAGAGGTCAGGGCGCTGATTTCCTCTCTGTCTCTCTCTATCACCCTCTCCCTCCCCTGCTCTATTTGTTTATTTATCTATCTATCTGTCTGTCTGACTGTCTGTCCATCTATCGATCGATCTATCTATCTATCTATCTCTGTCTGTCTCTGTCTGTCTTTTTGCCTGCTTGTCCTTTTGTCTTTTTGTCTGTCTGTCTGTTTGCCTGCCTGCCTTCCTGCCTGTCTGGCTGTCTGCCTGTCTATCATTATCTGTCTGTATATCTATGGACCTATCTCTCTATCTCATCTTGTTCAGTTTTATCTCATCTTATCTCATCTAACCTCATTTCCTCTCAACCAACCAACCAACCAATCTATCTATCTATCTTTCTTTCTTTTTTTTTCTCTCTCTCTCTCTCTCTACCGAATTCTCCATCCGTTGAGCTGCCTCTCTGTCAATCTTTCCCAATCTTCTCTGTCTCTCTGTATATCTGCATCTCTATCTCTATCTCTTTCACTGTCTGCCTAATTTTCTATTTAATTATCTATCTACTTATACTTATCTATCTATATGTCTTTCTATGTATCTGTCTATCTATCTACCCATCTATCTATTTACCTATCTATCGGAAGCAATTGTGCGACGCTTCCTTCGCAAGTGGAAGTTGACAGATCCCAAATGAAGCAAGTCTGCGAGACTTCCTCCAAACTTCGAATTTGGCAGCATCAAAAACGAAGTAATTCTACGACACTTCTTTCAAAAATGGAAAGTTGAGTGCAAAGCTGACAGCCTCGTGCCAATGCGTTTTGCGATTTTTGCGTCCCATCTCTTTAAAGTACTGCGACGGCCACGATACAGTGAAGCCAGGCCATACGAAGTGCTAAACCTATCGCATAAAATCATCTTGGCAAACCTGAAGATCGGATGCTCCAAAATACAACCCCATCAGATCAATAGAAAGATGAGATTAGATTTGGTTAGAATTGATTATATAGATTAGATAAGATAATAAGTTGAAAGATGGATAAATAGAAAGATAGATGGCAAGATCGATAGAAAGATCCATAGATAGAAAGATAGATGGATAGATAGGTAGATAGATAGAAATATAAAAGCACAGGTGGATAGGTACATAGACAGATAATAAATAGATAGACAGATAGATAGATAGAAAGAAAGATATAGACAGATAGATAGATAGATAGATAGATAGATAGATAGATAGATAGATAGATAGATAGATAGATAGATAGATAGATAGATAGATAGGTAGATGAATAGGTAGATGAATAGGTAGATAGATAGATAGATAGATAAATAGATAGGTAGATGAATAGGTAGATAGATAGATAGATAGATAGATAGGTAGATGAATAGGTAGGTAGGCAGGCAGATAGGTAGATAGATCAATACATAGACAGATAGACAAATAGATAGATAGGTAGGTAGGTAGATAGATACATACATAGACAGATAGATATAGATAGGTAGGTAGGTAGATAGATAAATAGATAGAAAGATAAATGGATAAATAGATAGAAAGAGACTGAGATAGATAGTAGTCAGAGAGATCGATAAACAGCTAGACAGCTAGACACATAGATACAGACAAAGAGAGAGAGAGAGAGAGATCAATGGGGTCGCTCTACCGTCCATGCATCACAACAACTCACCTCTCCTATAGGTTCCCTATCTTGGAAACTTCCGCCACTGCCTTGCGCGATATTACTGGTAGTTGGAAGTATTTACAACCGGGAATATCATCAAACACCTGGCAGTATATCCCCAAATCATCCATTCGCACAGGATTTTCCATTACAAACCATCTAGCTATTGCGGTACCCGCATGTATGTAAACTCCAACGTACACTCCTCCATGTTTTGATTTGGAGGCCTTCAGCTCCTCCTTTAACTTTGCTCTTTCGGCCCTGAGGTCTTCTGCCGACTTGACATCAACTTTGAAGCCGTTGAATGTGATGGTCTCCTGCGTAGGCTGCAGGCGGCAAGGGGCCGCCAGGGCGCCCGCGGGTCGAAGGAACGCTGGGAACAGCAAAATAAATAGCCAGGATCTATAGAATGTTGGTGGGTGTTCATCCATCAAAGTTATTCTATAATATGTGATCGGTTTTGATTGGCCCATGACAAGTGGTGCCTTCCATGATCGCACATAGAAGCGAGAAATATGTACAACAAATAACTGGACGTCTTCCATCCTATAAAGAAAAACCTATGAATGGTGGGTCTTTAGTGTTTTGAGTTGTCTAGACAGTTGACTTGCAAATTTTGAATTCTATCTTTTCCACAGTAGTTGAGCAGTTGAGTCCTAAACCTCATTCCGCATTCAGCCCCTGATACACTCTGCAAGTTCTACGCCTATTCTGGGATGAGCCCCACAGGTCAGTAAATTGCTGATGTCTGTTCGTATCATTAGCCTTTTTAAGGTGAAAAATATAGATGACATTGCATCGAATTACATGAGTGCATACACCTCAACCACCAATCATGTAGCGAACTTCAGGTACGATCCCTCAAAGAAGTTGCAGCTTGGTCACGTCTTTCTTCGCCACTTCTCCATCGCCAACCCTCAACTTCGCAGGAACTTTGTTCACAGGAACTTTGAAGCCGTTGAATGTGATCGTCTCCTGCGCAGGCCGCAGGGCCCCCAGGGAGCCCCAGGCACCTCGAAGGAAGCCTGAGAACAGCAAAATAGATAATTAGCTCGAATCTATGGGATGTTGACGTTCCTTCCTCAAAATTATTGTGTAATCGAAGCGGATTTAGAAGTCAAACTTCCAACGCATGGACAGATGCAGCAACAGGTGCAGGAAAAGTCAGAGGAGAAAGAATCAGTAGAAAAAAAATCACATTGCGCGAAAAGGATCGAAAGGATCGAAGAAGTAGGTACAGTCGCGAAACACTGTGTTTATCCAATGTTTTGGGGCTCCGGAGGGTCAAAAAGTACAGTAGGCTCGCTACAGCGGAGGGTGCGGAGCCATCTGGCGGGATAATAAATCAAAAACCGCGGCGCGAAGCACATTTGAAAGCCAAAAGGTAAAAACAAACCTCCTTCTCGGAACGCTTTTGGAAGTTGAGCTGTTCAAAAAGTGCACGCAGCGGCGCGAAGCACATTTCCAAGTCAAAATGTTACAGGCACCACATGTTCGCACCACTTTTGGGCGTCAAGCATGGGATCGGATGAAAGCTTTGCAGCAGTTTGAAACAAGATAGCAGGCGTGGGGCATTTGAAGAGCTGTAAAGATGTATTTAGCGTGGCAGGCGCAGTACAAGAGACATCTCACTTTAGAGAGATGGGATAGACAAATCGCAAAATTCGCTGGCATGAGGCTGTCAGCTTTGCACTCAAGTTCCCATGTTTTAAGGAAGTGTAGTAGAATTACTTCGTTTTTGATGCTGCCAAATTCGAAGTTTGGAGGAAGCCTCGCAGAGTTGCTCCGTTTTGGAGCTGTGCAATTCCATTTTTTGAGGAAGTCTCACAGACTTCCTTCATTTGGGATCTGTCAACTTCCACTTTCCAAGGAAGCCTTGCATAATAATAGCGATAAATCGATAGATAGCTAGACAGATAGGCAGATAGCTAGATAGATCAGATAGATAGATCGTTTTTCATTGATTGCTAGATAGATGAAGATACACTAATCTGAAAGTAGATGGCTCAACTCAAAAACCAAAATACCCATAAGATGGCACTGCGCGGTGAGGAAGAAAACGGCGCTATTTTGGCTGGAACATAAAACGAGTTGCGCCATCTATGTGGCTTGTGTCAAAGATCCAATTGGGGAAAAAATTGCCCTAAAATAGCGTCCCAAACATGGAAGTTCAGCAGGCTGAGGGGGGTTGGCATTGGCAAACGCGTTTAGAAACAGGCTTTTGTCCTCATCATCCATCCCTTGCCTGACTTGCGCCATCTATGTGGTTTGGAATAGTTTGGAAACAGGCCCGGTTTTTGGCGCATATATCTTTCTGAGGATGAAAGGAGATGCGCCATCTATGTGGTATATTTTGGTTAGGTCGGTTAGAGGGATGTCGGGAGGTATGAGGGACTTGTGCCATCTATGTGGGCATTCCCAGCCTGATTTTGGCGAATGAGTGGGACTTGCGCCATCTATGTCCCCAAAAGGCAGCTTGATGTTGAGGAAAAATTGTGGGTGCAAACCAGCGCAGAAGACTGCAAAAAACTAGGTCATTTTTGGACATACATGGCGCGAACTACCTGTTTGAAAATGGAGTTGCGCCATCTATCCCCTGTATTTTGCCTTTGACAAAGATGGCGCAACTCAATATTCAGAGCCATGTGCTCTCAATATAGAGTAGATAGATAGTGAAATAAAAGAGACAGAGATAAAGATAGAGATAGAGAAAGATATAGATGGAAATATGGAGATAGAGATAGAAAGAGAGACAGAGAAGATTGGGAGAGATTGACAGAGAGAAGGGAGATGGATGGATGGATGAATGACTGGATGGAAAGTTAGGTAGACAGATTCACATAAAGATAGGCAGAAAGAAAGAAAGATAGACGGAAAGGAAGGAAGAAAGATAGGTAGAGAGAGAGAGGGAGAGAGAGAGAGAGAGACAAACAGACAGACAGACAGACGGACGGACAGACAGACAAACAGCCAGGCAGGCTCACAGACAGAGAGAAAGAGAGAGAGAGAGAGGGAGATAGATAGATAGATAGATAGATAGATAGATGGATGGATGGATGGATGGATGGATGGATAGATAGATAGATAGATATGTATTGAAAGAAAGAAAGATAGATAGATAGATAGGTAGATAGATAGATAGATAGCTAAAAAGATAGGTAGATAAGTAGGTAGTAGGTAGGTAGATAGATTAGATAAGATAAGATAGATTAGATAGATTAGATAGATAAAATAGTTTAGATAGATTAGCTAGATTAGATATATTAGATTAGCTTAGATTATATAGATTAGATTAGATTAGATTAGATTAGATTAGATTAGATTAATAGATAGATTAGGTAGGTAGGTAGGTAGGTAGGTAGAAAGATAGATCGATGGATCGATAGACATATAGATTAGATAGATTACATAAATTAGATACATTAGATAAATAAGATAGATTAGATAGATAGATAGATTAGATAGATAAGATTAATTAGATAGATAGATAGATAGATCGATAGATAGATAGATAGATGAGATAAATTAGATAGATTAGATAGATTAGATATATTAGATAGATTAGATTAGATAGATTAGATTAGATAGATTAGATGGATTAGATAGTTTAGATGGATTAGATAGATCAGATAGATTAGATCGATTAGATAGATTAGATTAGATATATTAGATTAGATAGATTAGATAGATTAATAGATAGATAGATAGATCGATAGATAGAAAGAGAGAGAGAGAGAGAGAAAGAGAGATAGAGAGACCCAGAGCCTCAACCAGCTTCTGTCCATCAGTGGGTTTGTTCTCCCATCAATGCATCACAACAACTCAAGATGAGCCCCAAAGGTCAGAAATTGATGCCTGGGCGTCTGATTAGACTTTAAAACATATAGAAGATACACCTCACTCATAAATCATGTAGCTGACTTTAGGTATGATCCCTCAAACGAATTGCAGCTTGGTCACATCTTTCTTCGCCGCTTCCCCACCGCCGGCCTTGGGCAGTGAGGCGTCTGGGTTGGGGTTGAAGCTTTTAGTACTTGCATAGATTTTCAATCCTTCTTTCTCATCCTGTATTTCTACAGCAATCTCAATGAACGGTGGATGTTTTTTGTACCCACGTGAGCTTGTGACAAAAGTTGACTTGGATTGAGATCGGCACGGACAAATTTGTTCAGTCAGGACATCCAGAATCCAAATCAAGCAAGAGGCAAATCAATGCAATATTTGAACTCTATCACCCAAGAAATTCCAGCATCGGTCCCTGATACACTCCTCAAGTTCCGCCCTGCTTCTGGCATGTTTTCAAAGTTTGGAAATGATTCAAATAATTGGAAGTATGTACAATCCTTGGTAATTGGGAATAAAAGGGAATATCATCAAACACCTGACAGTACATCCCCAAATCACCCAAACTACCAATCATGTCATAACATGTCATAAGCGACTTGATGCATCATTTCCAAAGAAAGATGCAGCTTGGTCACCTCTGCACCCTTCGCCCCCCCAGCCATCAGCTTCTGCAGCAATGGATGCGCAGCAGGATTGGTTGCACCAGCCTTGGGCAGTGAGGCGTCTGGGTTGGGGTTGAAGCTTTTGAATACTTGCATAGATTTTCAATCCTTCTTTCTCATCCTGTATTTCTACAGCAATCTCAATGAACGGTGGATGTTTTTTGTACCCACGTGAGCTTGTGACAAAAGTTGACTTGGATTGAGATCGGCACGGAAAAATTTGTTCAGTCAGGACATCCAGAATCTAAATCAAGCAAGAGGCAAATCAATGCAATATTTGAACTCTATCACCCGAGCTATTCCAGCATCGGTCCCTGATACACTCCTCAAGTTCCGCCCTGCTTCTGGCATGTTTTCAAAGTTTGGAAATGATTCAAATAATTGGAAGTATGTACAACCCTTGGTAATTGGGAATAAAAGGGAATATATGGGAATATCATCAAACGCCTGACAGTATATCCCCAAATCACCCAAACTACCATAACCGACTTGAGGATCTTGATGCATCATTTCCAAAGAAAGATGCAGCTTGGTCACCTCTGCACCCTTCGCCCCCCCAGCCATCAGCTTCTGCAGCAATGGATGCGCAGCAGGATTGGTTGCACCAGCCTTGGGCAGTGAGGCGTCTGGGTTGGGGTTGAAGCTTTTAGTACTTGCATAGATTTTCAATCCTTCTTTCTCATCCTGTATTTCTACAGCAATCTCAATGAACGGTGGATGTTTTTTGTACCCACGTGAGCTTGTGACAAAAGTTGACTTGGATTGAGATCGGCACGGACAAATTTGTTCAGTCAGGACATCCAGAATCCAAATCAAGCAAGAGGCAAATCAATGCAATCTTTGAACTCTATCACCCGAGCTATTCCAGCATCGGTCCCTGATACACTCCTCAAGTTCCGCCCTGCTTCTGGCATGTTTTCAAAGTTTGGAAATGATTCAAATAATTGGAAGTATGTACAACCCTTGGTAATTGGGAATAAAAGGGAATATATGGGAATATCATCAAACGCCTGACAGTATATCCCCAAATCACCCAAACTACCATAACCGACTTGAGGATCTTGATGCATCATTTCCAAAGAAAGATGCAGCTTGGTCACCTCTGCACCCTTCGCCCCCCCAGCCATCAGCTTCTGCAGCAATGGATGCGCAGCAGGATTGGTTGCACCAGCCTTGGGCAGTGAGGCGTCTGGGTTGGGGTTGAAGCTTTTAGTACTTGCATAGATTTTCAATCCTTCTTTCTCATCCTGTATTTCTACAGCAATCTCAATGAACGGTGGATGTTTTTTGTACCCACGTGAGCTTGTGACAAAAGTTGACTTGGATTGAGATCGGCACGGACAAATTTGTTCAGTCAGGACATCCAGAATCTAAATCAAGCAAGAGGCAAATCAATGCAATATTTGAACTCTATCACCCAAGAAATTCCAGCATCGGTCCCTGATACACTCCTCAAGTTCCGCCCTGCTTCTGGCATGTTTTCAAAGTTTGGAAATGATTCAAATAATTGGAAATATATACAACCCTTGGTAACTGGGAATAAAAGTGGGAATAAAAGGGAATATATGGGAATATCATCAAACGCCTGACAGTATATCCCCAAATCACCCAAACTACCATAACCGACTTGAGGATCTTGAGGCATCATTTCCAAAGAAAGATGCAGCTTGGTCACCTCTGCACCCTTCGCCCCCCCAGCCATCAGCTTCTGCAGCAATGGATGCGCGGCGGGTGCGGCGGGTGCGGCGGGTGCGGCGGGTGCCTCCAAGGCAGCAGCGGCCGCTTTGGGAAGTGCCGCCGCAGCGGCTTTGGGAAGCGCATCGATGCCTGTGGGAGGTGGAGCCGACTTCTTCTTCAACAATGCCTCGGGGGAGCCACGGATCCACGGAGAGTTCGAGTCCGTTGTAGGGTTGGTGGGAGTTTTAACTCAACTTTTTTTGGGGGGGACTTCTTGACTAGCTTTTTTTACCAGTTTCGATTCTAGATGCAGCAAGTCGAAGCGATGCCAGGCTTGGAGACTTCAGCCGAGCATCTGCCATGTTCAGATCCGATATTGGCTCGATCAGATTGTTGCCTGGAGGAGCCACATCATAAGTTGGCTGATGATTCTTTGTGACCTTAGTATAGCCCATCATGCCAATGAAGCCATCAAGCTTGGCTTTCCTAGGCAGGGGCTGGGGGGCTGGGGTGACGACATCGGTTAAAACTCGGGTTTTCTGCTGTTTGGTCAGTGGTACGGTTAGTAACATGCCGGAAGTGCCCTGAGATCGGCTTCCCTCCCTTCATTCTTGGTATTGCTACTATTGTGTTTCCTATTTAGTATGATCTTTAGCATTGTCATTCTTGTTGTCATTACTACTATGATCTTTATTTGTTAATCATTATCATGATCAGGATCATACATGTTGTATTCAATATATTCTATTACTATTATCATTGCAATGACTATGCACAACTATACATATATATTTGTGTACACAGTCATAACATGTCACTAAACCATTCTTGCGAGCTTTGAGGCTTGTTTTTTTCCAGATTTTCCAACCAAGTTGTGGTCCAAGTCGTTGTTTTGTTTTCCAAGTGTCGTTTCCGCCGCTTTCTTCTTGTCTGCCTCGATCTTCGCATAGATGTTCTTAGCAAGTGCCGCGCTCTCCTGAAGACGCCCGTGGCGTCAGAAGCTTCGCCACGAAAAAACGTCGTCGTCACTGGGGGATGTCCCAACATTTGGCAACGGATGAACAACATGCCAACTGGTGGTTTCCATGACTATGGCTACCCATGGCTACCCCAGTCATCATCCAAGTCAGAACCGGATGGGATTTCACCATCAGCTGGGCCTTGTTGGACATCAGCTGGGTTAAAGCTGCCTGCTGCTCTGGGCTCAGGTTCTTGTTCTGGAAGGGCGCCAGGTCATCGGCGACTTTGCCCACCTCTTGGCCCATCTCCTCGTGGAGTTCTTGTGGACAGCGACAGGAACAAAGCTTTCCATAGTCATGGTAGGCTACCCCAATAGCTGGGTGATTTTTTTGATGAAAACACCCTATTAAAATGCATGATTTAGGGGTATCCCTATTTTAGGAAAAAGGAATCATAGTAATATTAATGATGTGGTGGATAATAGTAGTAACAGTAATGGATAATAGATAATAGTAACCATGGTAATTAATAGATGCTACTCATATCTTTTTGTGGATCTTCCATTGATGAAAAACAAAAAGGGATGAGCCGGTGACCGGAAGCCAAGAATGTTTTGGGGGTATGGGGATAGAAATGGATAGAAAAACCATCATGGGGATGCTTAAGCAGCCCAGTTAGGCCTTCCCAAGGCCCTTTTTGTGGGTTTATTCAGGGCGTATCAACCGCCATTTAGAAAACAGTAACCATTTATCATTGGGGGGTAAACAGGGGGTAAACAGCTGGATATCCATGAACACTTGCCGAAGTCTGGGCAGTGTGCCAGTTCCACAAATTGGGTACCAAAAATTGGGTACATTGATAGACTGGGACAACCCTGTTTTTTTTTGGGGAAACGTCTCTCTCAATGGACTGGTTTTTTTGGGAACATCTGCAGGAAACAATCGATTTTCCCATGGAAAATATGGGGCTTTCCTGTAAATTCCCTTTTTGGGATGATTCCTCTTGGCTAACCATCGGCTAACATTCGCGCAACGCTAGCCGCGAACGAGAAATACCACGGGCGGGCGGTAGTGGGGAGATAGTCATCCATGTAGGAAGCGGATATGTGATTTTTTGATGATATTTGGATATACCTACACCCTCCAAGTTCCCATAAGAATTCGTAAAACTACTAAAATTGTAGCCCCATTTTAATGGGTACGTTTAATGCGTCGGGTCTTGATATGGCTAACTGCTAGCCGCGTTAGCCCTGGCCCAATCCAGCCATTGAGATATGAGAAACCCAGAGGATACCCTTTGGTAAACTGACAATTTGCGGACTGGAACATCAACATTTCTAAAAACGGGATTGATCATCGAAGTGCATAGGCCACGGCTTCCAGTTCGCAAACTGTTGGTTTACTGGATAGTATACCTTGAACGCAGAAATGGTGCCAATTCCTCTCCCATTTTTTCCACCTCGAAATCAGCTGAATTGAGGGACCTACTCATGGTCTTTCCTAAAGAAAACACGGGTCCTTCTGGTACTCGGCTGTGTTGGGAGCTGCCGGTTGGCTTGCAGCCTGGCGAGCCATTTTAACCCAGGCCCAAATACAGGAAATGTATGGGAATGTCATGGAATACCTGGTGATAAATGGCATATCCATGGGATATATATTTATAATATGTGGATATATATATATATATATATAATATGTATATATATATATAACTATATGTATATAACTATATATATATAACTATATATATAACTATATGTATATAACTATATATATATAACTATATATATAACTATATGTATATAACTATATATATATAACTATATGTATATAACTATATATATAACTATATGTATATAACTATATATATAGCTATATATATTACTATATATATTACTATATATATTACTATATATATTACTATATATATATATTACTATGTATATATATATTACTATATATATATATTACTATATATATATATTACTATATATATATTACTATATATATATTACCATATATATATATATATTACCATATATATATATTACCATATATATATATTACTATATATATATATTACTATATATATATATTACTACATATATATATATATTACTATATATATATATATTACTATATATATATTACTATATATATATATTACTATATATATATATAAGACCTCGCTCGGACTGGCCCCAAAGAAATTGCGAAAGCCCCTGGGATCCCCTGGGATTCGAACGGTTTTTTTTTTGGGGGGATCATCCCCATCTTTTCGGGAGCCAATCCATTCATCAGCGCCTTCTTCGCGGCCCATTGCTTCATGTCAAAGTGCGTGATGTTCAGGGCGCTTTGCGATTTGCTCCAAAAGTTGTTCTTGTAGACAAAGAGGGTTCCAAGGAAAGGCGCCGGCACACTCCTACATTTCTTATCCCCACGCCCTCAAAAAGACTCAAGATCTTTGTATTTGGTGTTTTTCATTCATCCAGTGAAGCAACAAAAAGGGCGGATGCAGCATGATGCAACCGTTGATGCAACCAGCAAACACATCGATGGGATTTTTTCTGGATCCAGGTGAACTGCCCCCAAAACCAGTATTTAAATCTGTGGTCTCCATTCATTTCAACTGGTTGGTGTTTTTTTTTAACCATCTTGAAAAATATGAAAGTCAATGGGAAGGGTTATCCCATATTATTTATGGAACATAACAAATGTTCCAAACCACCAACCAGTGATTATTAACCATTATTAACCATTATTAACCATTATTAACCATTATTAACCAAAATTAACCATTATTATCCCATATTAGAAGCTTTTCCCAAGCGATTTGATTTCTTTTCGTTTACCGTAATGTACCAAGATTCTTCTGCTGGGCTGTGGGGCTCGCCATGTTCCAAACATCCCCAATTTTGCTTGGTCTATGATGATCATAGGATCCATGGTGCTGGTATATACACGAACATAAAGGGGGTATATTAATGGTAAATGTGACCATATATATCCATATATGGCAGCACCATGGATCCGTCATGGGGATGATCATAATTCATCATAATTCACTCTGGCATACTCTGGCTACATGAGTTATATAATGAAACGAACTGGGGCACTACTCCTCGCAGCATCCTGTAGGAAGAGCACCATCCCCAAACCCATCGCCCCCGTCCTCTGCATCATGTCCATGATGTTCAACCTGCCCAGACCGGGAAAGCCCACGTTCTCCATGTATCCGGTATCAAACTTTTGGCCGAAGATGTCCACATAGGTGGGCTTGAACAACTTGAAACTGTTGTTGGCTTCGTTCACTGTCTTCATGCCTCGAGAAATCGCACATTTTGGCGAGCGATTTCGGTCATCCCGATTGTTGGCAGGAACACTATCGAATTGAAGGCAGGGGTATATATATATATACGTATATTTGTATGTATATGTATATAGTATATGAAATCATATTATGCTATATTTTGAAAAAACACATATATACTGAATAACCAATATTATCTACTCAAATATATGTGGGCGTTAAAGCCAACCAGGTCGTCTGGGTTTCTCCAATTCGGCTGATCTGTGGAAAAAATCTTTCTGTTTTTCATGTCCCATCGGAAAAGGATGGATTTGTTTCATGGCAAGCAGTTTGGAGATGTTTGGATCATTTTTAGGCATACCCTCTGGTTATGTCAAAATAGCTATGGAAAGATCCACCATGCTATTAATGGGAAAATCCACTATTTCAATGGCCATTTTCAATAGCTATGTTAGTTTACCAGAGGGTAACCCATATTTTGGGACAAACCTGAATGTACCAACAACACTCGTTTCTCTCTGAAAGTGTTTGTCTGAAAATGGGGTACTTGTCAAAATCACACCATCAAAAAGAGAGATCTCGACTCATTGAAAGGCAGGTTGCTTGTTTTTGTGTGTGACAAACCCTAGTTTTTAATTGGGAGAGACACTTGTCTTCTAGGGAGGGGTTATCAATACGAACTTGGCAATATCTATATATACAATATAATCATATATGCATAATTACAGGATATATATGTATATATATATATATGGGCGGCGGAAAGTATTTGGATGTACAAGTACTAAGTACTTGGTCCATCACGTAATCGACGAGTTGTACCTACCTCGTTATCCATTTTTGTGCGAGGCAGTTCCCGCATTCTCCAAAAGTTGTGCATGAAATGCCTACCTCGTTCTCAGGGTGTTCCTACCTCGTTTTGCAACATAAATATGGTGGTTTGGACAATCCGGGGTATGCCCGAAGACTACTCTTTTCTTTGCCAAATAAACACCGTCAGTCATATATAGATCTGTTTGCCATAATTTCTTTCACTAACATTGCCATTTGAGGTAGCATTATTTTCGGACCCATGTTGCCCAATGTTGCCCAACGTCTTACAAACAACTCAGCCAAGCGAGTTCGCAGCCAAGATGCCATCATAGCAGAATCCCAAGTAGCCTTCCGCAGCATAGACCAATTCGCCGGCGTTGCGGTTGAGAATTTGGTTCACCCCTGTGTATCCCATGGGCAATCCTTTGGTGTCCGCAAAGTTCGAAATGACATCGTTCGGGACACAATAGGCCGAGAAGCTGTACCTTGGGCAAAAGACATTGCAGAGCTACGGACATCGGCTCCATATGGGCCCATGACCCATGTTCATTCATGTTCGGTATCTCTCAAAAAGGCTAAAAATTGCATATGACTGAAGTCTTTGGCCAGCATGCTCCTTGTAGTCCTTGTTCTTGAAGCTGTAAAAGTAAGAGCACTCCTCTTGGCCTTGCTGAAGCAAGGTCTTCAAAGGGCCGGGCGCTGCACACTTTCCCTCACCCACAAAGTCCTGGAGGTCTGTCGCAGGTGGTCTAGGGGGTCATGCCATTGACCAATTGATGCCCAAAATTCTGATGGTTTATCATGGTTCAACAGCATGGGTATACCAATAGTTAAATGGTTCAACTATCATGGTTTTTGTTAAATTGAACCTATTGTTCATCCATTTTCCTATTCACTGGATTTCAACAGTACCGGTACCCGAACACCATGTTCAGACATGTCGTTAACCACATTAAACCCATTAATTACAACATAATCCAGCAGTAAAGCATAACAGAATTAAGACCATATTAACCCATTGAACCCAACATAATTCACAAAACTGGACATGCAATGATCCTGACCAGATGCTGGAAATGCTCAGATTTGGGGCAAAGCTACCTGATACCGCCCTCTTGCCACCCATGAATTCTTTTGGGGTCATATTTCACATAGAGTGCCCCAATTCTGCTTCATGAACTCCGATCAGAAAATTAGTTTTTCGTACCTGCAGGATGGGCCCCCCCAGTGATGTGAACGTTGGTTTATAAACCATGAAATAACCCCCCCATGAACATCCATTAACTATAGTTATATCTACCATAAACCATAGAATTCAGCCACTTATAAACCAACTGAACGCTATCTTGGGGCCCCATCCTGTTAAAATTTAGAGTTCTCCATTTTGCCCTGGCCATAATTTGATGTCCAGGGCCATGCATAACGTGGGGAGAATTATCCAAATATCATGTGGTTGGTTCTATGTATATACATCATGTATCCCATTCAAACATAAAATGCACAAAAAATCTCCTTATATTCAATTTAAGTATATATTCCAATTATGCTTCAACCAATGGCGGTTTCACCACGGAGGTGCCCCCAGTCATTATCCAAGTCGTATAGGTCTCGGGTCCTTTTTGACGTTCTCCTCAATATGACTGGTGTACTGGTTGGTGTTCACCAAATAGCTGGCCTTGTCGGCCAGGCCATTGGCCTCCCCACAGCACTCCATCAAGAGAGTCAGGTCACCCAGGCCGGGATTCAAGACCTCGGCTCGGTGATGGCTAGGTGGCTACAAGGTGGTAAACCCCCCCCAGTTACCCTCTGGTAATTTAACGTAGCTATGGAAAATGACCATTTATAGTGGATTTTCCCATTAAAAATTGTGATTTTCCATAGTTATGTTAGTTTACCAGAGGGTAGTAAGTATGAATATATCACGATGTATCCAACATAAACCATAGTGAAATTGGAGTTATGTTCACGCACCAACTTAGCCAACGAACTGGGGCACCACCTGGTAGGGTAGGGTCATAAAGCCCATTTCACAAAGGTAAACTAAGGGTGAATCACCAAGTGATGCAGCCTCGCTGGGCTCACCCCAAGTTCTCATCCAACAGCATTAAGATGCTATTTGGTGGGGTGATCCATATATATATATGTATATATATATATATGTAGTGTGTATATATATATGTAGTATATACGTATATATATATATTATATCCCCAGGCCAGGGGTGCTGCCCAGAGGTTTATACTATATAATCACCAACTCTTTAGGGTTTGTTTAGGGTTTATCTAGGGTTTCATTTATATAGTTTTTTTTAACCACGGTTTTAGTAAGAATTTATGTTCAAGGCTTACGTAGGGTTTCATGTCAGTTTTTTTTAGTGTTTAGGATTGGGGGAATAGAGTTTAGAAGCAAGTCTCGCCATTCGGCCATTCTGCCGACATCCCCAAATGCATAACACACTGTGTGAATCGCAATAGCTAAGTGAACTTCGAACTTGTGTGAACATCTACGGTAGGGTTTAGGGTGGATATGGCTTCTGGCCTCACCTTGCATCAAATCTCCATTAAGGCGTCAAGGTACTTGGAGAAGGGTGGCATAGATGCCCACCTTCCCGCCCTTCGTCAAGTTTCCCGCCCCTTTCACCACATCACCTGGGATCCACGATCGTCCCAATGGGACAAAAAACGTGGGCTTTTTCTCAGGGGTTAGACCCACAAAATATCGGCAGCAACATGGTTTTTCTCGGACTTCACAAGTGATTATATATATATATATGTATATATATATATGGTACCCCCCCCCCAAAACCGACATTTTCAAGATTGTAACGCTTTTGGGATAGTTACCTTGTTCAGTTTGAGATCCAGTGGGGCAGTATCATACATATATATGCATATATATATACACATATGTATATTATTTGTTATCTTACTATTACTAAATCCATGTACTTAGAGTATTTTTTACAAGAAGTATTTGCAAACGTTTGCAAACGCTTGCAAACGTTCCTGATCAGGATTCAAGATTCAAGATTCAAGATTCCCAGAAAAACTTCTTGAATCCAAGGGGATAGGATTCAAGATTCAAGATTCCCAGAAAAACTTCTTGAATCCAAGGGGATAGGATTCAAGATTCAAGATTCAAGATTCCCAGAAAAACTTCTTGAATCCCAGGATTCAAGATTCAAGATTCCCAGAAAGAATTCTTGAATCCAAGGGGATAGGTCTTGAATCTTGAATCCTGGGATTCAAGAAGTTTTTCTGGGAATCTTGAATCTTGAATCTTGAATCCTGGGATTCAAGAATTCTTTCTGGAATCTTGAATCTTGAATCTTGAATCCTATCCCCTTGGATTCAAGAAGTTTTTCTGGGAATCTTGAATCTTGAATCCTGCCCCCTTGGATTCAAGAATTCTTTCTGGGAATCTTGAATCTTGAATCCTGGGATTCAAGAATTCTTTCTGGGAATCTTGAATCCTATCCCCTTGGATTCAAGAATTCTTTCTGGGAATCTTGAATCTTGAATCTTTCTAAGTACTTGGGTCCCTGGGCTCGTTTGCAAACGTTTGCAAACGCTTTTGGTGACAAAATTACTCTAAGTACCTGGGTTCAACAGTAAGACAACAATTAATATATACGTATATATACATATATATTGTACATGAGTTAAATAATGAGTTTGAAGTGGAATTTCATCAGGTAATGGCATTTGTTGAAACAGTTTATCTGCAATTACAATATTACAACTCAAAGCACATTGACAAATAATCACTTGCAGATGTTGATTCTCTTGTCCATATATCAAAAATATTGTTATATGAAAAATATCTTTACATATATTGTTAAATAGTTGAGTTACTAAACTGTCTGCAAGGTTATATGTTTTATATTTTATTAGGTAAGATATAAACTCAATTTCATCTTGTAATGTTTGTTTTAAGACATTCATATATATATATATATTTGCATCATTAATATCAATTGTTTTTGGTAAAGAGATTTGTGAATTCTTGAGTAATTCATGTGCTATCATTCCATAAAAAGGTGCACAGTATTTTGAAGCCCTTTATAATATTTTTGACAGTGCATGATATTTTAGATGTTGCATATGTTGCATGCAAATATACATAAAATAGGAATGTCTACTTATTTGATTTGGTGATGTAGCAATCGCATCTATATAAGAAAAATGCTTTAGTGCAATATTATATACTTTTAATTTTACAAGTGCTATAAATCCTGCCAAGTTATGTATTTTTATATATTGTCAATATATGTTATATTTTTGCTAGCTTGATTAAGTAATTTGTAGGCAAGAGTGTATTTTTTAAATACTAATAGTTCCCTTGCATAGCATATTCTTAAGTCAGTACAATTTTATTGTCTCTTGAAAAGATGGGTTTAATATAGGAGCTAAATTTTGTTCTATTCTATATGGGTTTAGACGTATATAGATCTTTTCTGGAAAATAAAGAATCAAAAATTAATCCTTAATTATATTGATGCTTATTATAATGTTATGATACATGTTTGTGCTTTGAGTATGATTTTGCTTTATTAAAATGCGACATTGCACTATCCTTTTATCCATATCTTTTAAACAACTGAAGAAATAAGAACTATTAAAATTTAATTGGTTTTGTAGTAATAGATTGTCGAGTTATATTAAGTGATTTTTATAAGATATATATCTAGATATATATTTTCTTGCTAGCGTTTAAAGCAGTTTTGCCAATCATTTTTAATCCAACTATTTATAGCAAGAGCTTTATTTATTTTTATTTTTTGGTAGATTGTAAAAATTGTGTGTATGTAATTAAAACAATAAGCAAGGAGAAAAAAAAAAACATACAAAAATAGCATGTTTTAGATATTTTGGCACAATTTGAATCACCAGTTTTTTTTTTTTTTCCATCTGTTTCTAGTTCTTCTTCAGAGAATATGGATATATTTATTAGTGGCTCAAAAAATGAAATAACTATGGTGGAAGGATGTGGAATGGAATTTCCAGAAGACAGATTATTAAATATCTTAGATGAGGCTTTAAAGCTTTTTACTCCAGTTCTAAACTTGATATTAGATATGAAATCTAAAATATGAAAAATAGAGTTTATTTCCAATATTCCTCTAGATTCTCATGTTGCTCAACGTAATTGTCAGAAATCAAAAATCACTCCAGTATACTTATTTTAAAAAGCACGCTATTTACTCAGTCTTCAAAACAAGAAAGAGAAAAACGTCGGTTTTGGGGGGGGGGGCTAGCATATATATATGTATATATATATATATATGTATATATATATGTATATATATATGTATATATATATAATTATATATATATATGTATACATATATACCCATAGGATCCATGTATGGTATATATGCTAACATTTGGGGTATATTGATGGTAAATGCTACCATATATCGCACACATGGATCCTATGGGATATGGTTTTGATGTAGCCAACCTGGTAATGTTTTTAAGCGAAGCTATGGCCCATTGAATTTCATGATTTACCGTTTCTGAACCTTCTGATTTTCAATATCGATAAATTACCAGAGGGTACTCCCAGGGATCGTAAGTGATTCATAACATTGCATAACCCATGAATATTAATAGGTAGGGTATACATGGGTATGCCATGCTATACCCCTTTATGGCTTAATCTGGCTTTTTTTGGGGCTGTATATTCCCGACAACCAGCGGGATGCATCAAACCAGGGTTCAATTCTGGCAGATTTTCCCTGAACAAATCCAACTGCAGTGTGGAAGATGCGAAATCGCGTTTGGGCCGTTTGTGAATTTCAAGCCTCAGATATCTTCACGTGAAAATTCGATTTTAATGCCTTTTTTTGGTGGGATAATAGGGTACCCAACATTGAGTGCTTCATCATCATTTCGATTAAAATGGTATATAATATATACATATAATAAATCATATAATATACATATCTATCCATTCAGGGTGACAAACATACCACGTTTCTGGACACACCCATTTTGGTGCAGGCCACGATGAGGAGAAAAACACTCAACATCCCAACGCTGCGCCCGAACTGAACGCGCCTGTCACTGCGGTCGCCGAGCGGATGTAACCCAATACGGGTAGCGAGCCTTTGGTGGTCTTTCAGGTGGATGCAAAAATGAGGGTATCTCCAAATCAGCCATTTTAAACAGGATTTTCCATTATAAACCATCCATTTTGGGAATCCCCCATTTATGCAAAACACCAAAATAGGGCACAATTCGGTTACAACTAGGCCACTTTGGCTTTCGAATGATCACCTTTCTCATCCTCACAAACTCTAGAAAAACACGGAAGATAGGACATGTCAGCGTTCATCCAAGCAACAGTGAGCGAATAAAAAGAGTATGGTGAATTGAAGCTTGGCCATTGCGCAACTGAGACAATACGTGTCGTTGTTCTGCCTCGTGGCAGTAGGCAACTTTTGTCAGTACCACAAACGGCTGCGATGAGCGATGCAATTCGCAAAAAAATAAAATTCCCAAGGTGACGGGAATCAACATGAAACACCCTCCAGAAACCATGGTGGATGTAGGGGATTTTCCCACATCTTTGGGACCAGACAATGGGGGTGTTTAATATGAACGCAGGATGGGATTCCACTCAACACGGCCACATTTCAACCAAGCTCTCAGATTCCCCATTCCAACACCTGGTGGATTCATGTGGATTTTATCGGGCTTTGTTTCTTTAGTGAATTGGGATCCGTCATGATCCGTCATTCATTTTGGGGGTATCGGGGTATCTAATATTAAAGGGGGGATGGGATGATATCAATCTCCTACAGATGAATTCCTTCCATTTTTGTTCGGGGTAAACCATGGGAAATCCCACCTATCTGGGGTTGTTACTCAGGGGTTAACATTAGCACTTTCACACAATTCAGGACATATCCGGGTGTGGGATTAAAATCTATCGACCTTAGTAGTATCAATCTGGCAGTCGCCAAACCTGTAAAATTGGGATTTCATACTAGTTGGCTCACCTCACTTAGTAAGTGGCTTATAACCCTACTCATGAGTATGGAAAGTAGCGGAAGTCCAGTCACAACTGATGCTGTGATCCACTTAGCCAAATGTTAACTGTTAACTTATTCAATGCTTCAATAGCCCCCAAATAAAGAAATCCAATAGAACATAATAGAACAAACATAGACAAACAGGGTTTGATGGATGAGCAAAGAAAATTCACCAACATTTCACTGGGAGAACCACAGCCCAGCCCCAAGCGGCCCTCCTTCTGTCTTACAAAGCTGGCTGAGTTGTGCGCGGCCATTGGCCGACAACTCCGTCACCTGAGCACCCCAAGAGGGGCACTGTTTCAACCCTGAACAAATGAGATTCAAGAATTCAAGGATGAAGAATATGGGAAAATGAATGAACATGATGGAAAATGCGGTTTTACCAGTATGGTAACCAGGTTTCACAATCTGGATCTGTAGTTGTCGAAGTTGGGACACAACACTTCAAGAAACACGGGGAAAAACCTAACTGCTAACTTCACATCAGAAAACATCTGAATGAGGAAAGATCTTGGTGATATTTGGGGGATTGATGAGGCAACCATCTACCACCAATGACTGGGTTACAAGGGGCGGTCCCACAGTTCTGATCAAAACGTCGCATCGAACAACTAACTTTCGCAGTTCATAAACACAAGATTTTGGGCATGATTCACATCAATGATATCCCCATTAAATCAATGATGTTCCCCATTAGATTCCCATTCTCTATAGTTAATATCCCATTGCATCCACATGATTCACATCATGTCAGGCCTTGGGCAGAAGGCGCTCACACAGATCCTGTGGGGCGAGAGGAACACAAATATATACAACATAGATTCGACTAGAGTAGATTATATAATATAGATTAGATATGATTAGATCAAATTATAGATTATATAGATTGTAGATCAGATTAGATAGATCCAAAGACATGGAGTCTAAAACCAAGATCGCACACATTGGATTGGAATCAACACCAACACAATGCATTCAAAGGACCAAGCAACAAGGATGAGGAGTCAAATTTACCACCAAATGTGACCAATACCCTCCTGTAATCAAACATCTGGGTAAATTACAATATTTCAGTAATCTGAATCTGAATCTTGCGGCCAATTGGGGATGATTTCCCTTACTAACCATGATTCCAGGGCTCGGTCGCGACGGGTTCGGTCGTGATGAAATTTACTCAGAAACATGGCGTGCCCTCCATGGCGTGCCGGTCACGGGGATTTTTCCGGCCCAAGTTTGATTGCTACAAGGGTATATTCCCATTCATGTCCCTATTAAGTATTAATATGATTTATTGTAAAACCATGAAAAAAAATACTTTACTTCGTGTGATCCCCACCATGACATTTATACATTTTCTTACTGGCAAATCTTCTGGCATTCTATCTGACATATCTTCTGGCATTCTATCTGGCATTCTATCTGGCATATCTTCTGGCATATTCTGTTCTGGCATATCTTCTGGCATTCTATCTGGCAAATCTTCTGGCATTCTATCTGGCATATCTTCTGGCATTCTATCTGACATATCTTCTGGCATTCTATCTGGCATATCTTCTGGCATATGTTCTGGCATATCTTCTGGCCTATCTTCTGGCATTCTATCTGGCAAATCTTCTGGCATTCTATCTGGCATATCTTCTGGCATATATTCTGACATATCTTCTGGCATTCTATCTCGCAAATCTTCTGGCATATCTTCTGGCATTCTATCTGGCATATCTTCTGGCATATCTTCTGGCATTCTATCTGGCATATCTTGTGGCATATTATCTGGCAAATCTTCTGGCATTCTATGTGGCATATCTTCTGGCATTCTATCTGACATTCTATCTGGCATTCTATATGGCAGATCTTCTGGCATTATATCTGGCATATCTTCTGGCATTCTATCTGGCATACCTTCTGGCATTCTATCTGGCATATCTCATGGCTATCTTCTGGCATTCTATCTGACATTCCATCTGGCATATCTTCTGGCATTCTATCTGGCCACCTGCAAAGTAAGAAGTGGCATTGCCCCGGTCACTCTACCACACACGCGCGAGTTTGCAAGTAATATATAACATACTTGTCTGACATTCTTTCTAACTTTCTTCTGCACATTCTTTGTCCCATATCTTCCTACATGAGGTCCGGCAGGGAACACTTGGCGTGGATACTCGCGGTTGAGGTCCGGCAGGGAACACTGGGCGTGGATGGTCGTGGTTGAGGTCCGGCAGGGAACACTGGGCGGGGATGGTCGTGGTTGAGGTCCGGCAGGGAACACTGGGCGTGGATGGTCGTGGTTGAGGTCCGACAGAGAACACTGTGCGTCGAGGGTCGCGGTTGAGCAGGAGGAGGAGGAGAGGAGAGGAGGAGAGGAGAGGAGGAGAGGAGAGGAGGAGAGGAGCAGGCAACTGACATAAAATCTAACAACCCTCACCTGGCAGGTGGGGAACAAGGGAAATCACTATTGTCCCCTGGGTCCCGGCCGCCCTGAATCCAAACACACCAAGGCCCTTCTTTCGCGTGAACAAGGGTGATATCATCGCACTCGTCAGAAACATCTTATTATATCCAATTATATATGATTCATTATGATTCTAGACATGCATATATCTAAATCATTCTAAATCAATATTATGTTCTTGGGATTGTACCCCCCATTTCTTCTGCCCTCAGCCCAAAAATTGTGGTTCCAACACTAAAAAAGCCTGGCCTCCATCAACTTCTGCTTGGCGTCAGGCGCCTTTCTGTCCAGCTGTCTGGGAGAAATCCACGTGATAAGAGGCTTGATGTAAGGGCAAATCTACAGGAAACTCTGGATTTCCACCGCCAAATTTGGAGGTGTCCTCTTCAAAATCCTTCAACCGATCCTAGGACATTACTCCCAACAGCCCAGCTACACGGGTGAACATTGAGGTTTAAAAACTGTCAAGTGGCCAATTGCCAAACATCAGGCCACAAGTGGTTATCATAGCAACCCTGTTTACTATCTCATTTTCCCATTAGGTATCGCATTATAGTTCAATTATCTCATTACATCCCATTATCCCACTATTCTTCCATTATTATCTCATTATGTCCCCATCGGAAATCTCTATAAATCCCAGCTTTTCTTGGTTCACTCCCATGAAATCACCCCATTTTTCTTGAGTCAGCTCAAAATCTCTCAACATCCCAGTAGTATAGCGTTACTCTCCCTATTAAATCATATAAAACCACATTAAACCCATGTTTTCCCATTGAATCCCCCGGTGCGATTTGTGTCTCCCCTGTCCTCACTTTCGCTTTGGTCACCCACCAGCCGAGCCAACTGCACCAGCCTCGGGTGCAGAGTTTTCACACGATCTAATCAAGAAACATATAGAAATGGTTAATAATGGTGATGGTTATTATATGGTTAATGATGATGGTTAATACTAATGGCTATGATGATGGTTAATGATGGTTAATAATAATCTGGTTAGTGGTTGACCTACCCCTCTGAAAAATATGAGTTCGTCAATGGGAAGGATGACATCCCATATATCATGGAAAATAAAAAATGTGTGAAACCACCAACCAGATATGGTAAATACATGGCCAATCAGCCAGAGGGCCCCTGCAAAAAATCATAAATTCTTAGCTGATGAACGTAGATGATCCCATTGATACCAAAAGATTAAAGGATTAAACTACCCATCTAAGTTTGACCTAATATGTCATTTATATGGATTAGTTCGCGAAGTCGGGAGATGAAACGAATGGGATGGAACTAGAATGAATTGAATTAGTGATGAACATTTGTATTTTTACTATAAATTCAGGGATGATAACACAGACATATCTAAATATATCTAAATATTACCCAACCGTTATTGGATAACCCTTCCATGTCAGGGATACCAACACCATTTCACCATTTCATGGGATGAAAAACCAACTACTGGAGGATCATCCCAACTTTGTCTTTCTGGGAATTTAAGCAACAATAGTGATGTTATGATGGGAATATAATATTCATAATTATATATATAATTATATATATAATTATATATATAATTATATATATACATATCATATATATATATACATATATATATATATGTATATATATATAGATATAATGCATGGGATATTGGCTAATAGCCACCGGTGTCATCAAACCTGGAGGGCTTTTGGTCGGATTATCCAACAGCAACACAACAGCGACTTCACCAATTCTGAGAATTGAAGATTTCACCAACAAAAACAACCCGACAGGAAGAATCACCAGAAAAAAACAGAAACAAAACAAGAAAAACACATTAAAAAACAAAAAAAACAAAAAAACAACTAGAAAACAACCAAAAAAAACAAAACCTGGATTGTCCTCAGTTTTTTGTTTGTGTTTTGTTTTTTCTTGTTTTGTTTTCTTTTCTTTATTGTTGTTGGTTTTCTGTTTTGTTTGTTTGCTCTGGTTTTGCTTTTTTTGTGTTTTATTTTTTCTATGAAACCCTATATTCTCTGTGCTGTTTGGGTCTCAAAAGTAGGCTTCATCAGCCTCTCCTGCTTGTAACACATTGCGACTGGATCAATCTGGATCAAGTCTAAAAATCCAACATAATCTAACAGACCCCTGGAACATACCCCATGGTGTTTGAATAGGTTTTGATAGTTTTTCTATGTTCTTGTGAACAAAAAGTCCCTTCTTTTGAAGTGTTGGAGGGATTTGGGGGAGGCAATGAGCCACCAGGCAACTACCCCAATTGTTTGAGCTCCACATGGCTCCACTCTTTCCAGCACCCCAGAATTGGATGGTCCAAATCTTTCCGAGGCAGGGTTTGTCTCAAAATATGCCACCTCTAAATCCATTCTGGTTGGTCATCATTTTCCCCATGCTTCGTGGCGAAAAAAAAATAAGCTGTAGCCCATTTTCAGACCCAGATTCCACCGAAAGTTGGGTGACTAGGTCGCCCTCGCTGATCTGGCAGCAAGCCATCGGCTGCCTGGGATGAGTGGCTTCCTCAGCTTTCCCAGATTTTGGGCCTGGAAGGATGTGGTTGATTTCCTCCAATGTCAACAGCGATAGCATGGCACGAAAAATTGCTGCTGAGCATAGAAAATTCCTCCCGCGCAAGTCCCAGGTGCGCCTTTGGGTCCTTAGGCGCGCCTCCCGCGAGCACCTGAGGCTTGGGGATGGAGACTTTATCCTTTAGGTAAGGATAGAAACAAAAGTAATCATTGGAAAGAAGAAGTAAACGATGGTTGCATGGGTGCACCTCTTGAAACCAAATTTTGACCATGGGCGAAATCAGCAGGGTTTCTGTGTACTTGGGCCATATATAGGGATCAGAATGGCCAAATACCAACGTGGCATGGGTCAAAATTCAAGAGCTTGGGATGGGGAATCTTCAAAATCACCGGTTTTGGCCAAATTTCTGGAAATCACCCCACTCTGGTGTAATGTCAACTTTGGATGAATGAATCCAGTTGATGAATTGACTTCTATTACATTCAAAAAAATATCAAACAGCACCTTGTCATGCAACTAACATGGAGCTCTCCCAAATTCGCTGGGGGTAACAAATCTTGGGATGACATGGCTAGTCAGCTCGCAGCTCGGAACCCTTGGACCCTAATGTTTATTCCCCCAGTCACATGGTCATTGATCCATCCCCACATGGCCCATCCCCACATGACCCAAATTGATCCAATGATCCACACCTTGGGCCAGGCTCCAATCAGCTGCGCCGCGTGCTTCTGGCCGTGCGAGTGGGGCATTTTCGGTGCAATCTTTCCGGCAGTCGAAGAGATTTGTTTTCAATACATTTCAATACGCATGGTATATATATATATATGTACGTGTAACTATGTACATGTATTCTATATAAATATTTCGATATGTGAAAAGGTATTTCAAGCATCCGTAGTCACTTACATCCCATAATCCAATCTGAATTTTAAATGTCGAGTTTTGACCCTGCAACAAGCAGCGCAGGATGACATCCGCCTGAAAGAGCACTGGAGATACCTCACGACCAGTGACCAAAATCCGCCGTCCTACATCGATGCATGTAGACAAACCAAGTAAACCCAAAAATGATTATGAAATGATAGGGTAATTCTGGGATCATACCTAAATAATTGGAGTCTTATAATCAACTTGATAATTGTAGTTTACCACGTTAGGTCTATCTACGTACTCACACACACACACACCATGTGCAACACAATTCTGACTATGAAAATTGATGTACATCCTCACGAGGCATCTTAGTTTGTGAACAACATGTTCCACCTTCTTCAGTTGTCCCATGCGTGTCTCTTTGCTGGGCCTTCTCTACACTTTCAACCCTCCATCAACGCAGCCAGGGTGCCATTAGTAACTCTTTGGCCGGAAAATGTGGAAGTCGCCGTAAGAGCTCTTGCCCTGCCACCTGAATGAGCTGAAGAGGCTGCAAGGTTGTGGGCTAGGGCATTAAAAAACGCACAAATGGGTCAATATTGAGACAGCATCTCAAAAAAAAAACGATGCAACGTCTAACAAAATCAAGATAATCAATAACAGAGCTGGAAGATAAACAAACAATAGTCAAACCATGAACATACATATATATATATAGCTGGCTATATGATTAAAGAGGAACATATATATATATATATAATATAATATATATATAAGCGATGCTCATTTATCCCCATCGCCATTGAGACCAGGGATGATCTATATATATACATTATAGTCATCCTGGAGTAGATAGAATATGTAATTCTCAAACAAAAATCCTCACTAAAATGGGAATATGTTCTAAACTTCATGTTCTTCTATCTACTTCAGGATGATAATATTTTACATTATACATACATGAATAATTCTGATTGCACATGATTATACATGTTTATACGTATATATATATATATATACCACTTGACATTAATATATGTTAAAAAAATGTAATCATCTTGTATATATATATATATACATATTATTATTATATTATATTATTACTCATTCTGACTTTTTGCGAACATAGATAGATCATATGGCGAGTCACCCAGCCAGGATCCCAGGGATCCCAGATGGGATGAACCATCCCAAGGGATCACCCGCGGCCACGGGGGGATGAGTTGCTGGATGGCTTGCTGGGATGACATGAAACTACAGGATTCGGGGCCCCCAGTCGAGCTCGCGTGAACCGTTGGTTTATTTTTGTGGCTGAAAACACTATGGTTTATAGCGTGAACCGTTGGTTTATAAGTGGCTTAACTAAAACTATGGTTTATGGTAGATATAACAAACTTTTTAAACATGGGGCTTATTTAACATGGTTTATAAACCAACGAACTCACATCACTGGGCCCCATGAAACTAGTGATGGGTTGCTGGATCATCACTAGTCATCCATGACGACTCAATGACGCCCATGACGATACACGGAAACCGACACATGGTTGCCCAATATTCGAATTTATCCCATGATTATCCCATGATTATCCCATGATTATCCCATGATTATCCCAGAAAATCCTATCCCAAATTCTGGACATCCTAAAAAAAGAAATTCCAGCTTTTTTTTGGTTTAAATCCCATGGAAATCACCACATTTTCTGGTTGTTGGTTGACCTACCCCTCTGAAAAATATGAGTTCGTCAGTTGGGATGATGAAATTCCCAACTTTTCATGGAAAGTCATAAAATTCCATGGTTCCAAACCACCAACCAGAAGATGATCATCAAGAAATGAGGTCTTTGGATGTCTTTGGCAGGAATCGGACCATTTTTTGGGTGGCTCAAAGGGTCAAAATTCACCAGCCCACCTCATGCAGCCGGGACCAGCCGTGCCCCAAGGTCGCCAAGACCTGAAACAACGGCAGAAATTTCACCGGGAAGGGACCTCCAAAACCATGGTTGAACGATGGTGCTTTAACCCTCTTTAACCATAGGAAACATGGGAATTGTATATATATATACAATATATATATATTTACTGGGATTTAGTGGGAGCTGAATCTATGATAGCTACAGTAAGTTGATGCACCGATCAACTTTGTGAACTGGTGAACTGTTGGGTTAAGGGGATAGCAACATGACTGGGGGTCCTCACCTTATTAACAACAATCTGCATGAAATGACGACGTGGAGATAACATGTAATACGATTTGAAACCATTGGATACTGGATCATGCAACATGGACAAAAATCAGGTATAATAGTGGAAAATATGGAATCACTAATTTCCCTAACATGTGGGTATCACTAGGGTTATGGTTATGAAATCATTGGATATTGGATTCCTCAGAGTTACTGCAATCCATAGCCCTAGTGATTGGTCTCATCAGCGCTACCCTCCGTTCGCTCCAAGGACCCCAAGCCATTCCAGCCAAATCGTTCGGACCTGTGCCGACAGATGCCACAGTGACTGGTTTTTTTGGACCCCGAAATCTCAAGAAGAAAAGACCAGTCGAAATATCAAACACGTATAAATGGTTGGTGGTTGACCTACCCCTCTAAAAAATATGAACGTCACTTGGGATTATTATTCTCAATATGTGGAAAAATAAAGCCATGTTCCAAACCACCAACCAGATAAAATACCAGAAACATCCAGAAACATATGGTTCGGGCTCAAAAACTCCTACATTCTGATAGCGTCAAACTCAAGGCTTGGGCAAATGCAAGCCAAGTCGTTTGGGCAAATGCAAGCCAAATCAGGGGTTTGTCCTCCACTTCAGGGTCTTTACCCTTCGATATTAACTGCTACAAATCGAGTGGATGTCTAAGAATAGAATATACGTGCTGGGGTCATATACCATGGCAAACATGGTTTCTTGTCCATTTCATAGGAATCCTCATTCCATGGGTAGACGGGTATCCCTAGTAATGGATTGATCACCATCCAATCCAACTTTTGATGGTGATCAGTGATCAATAATAATAATAAAGTTGGATTTTGATCACTCCTCAATCAAGTAATGAGTGTGCGGAGTCGGAGTCCACAATCATTCCAATCTCCAGTCCCAAGCGCTGGTGGCGGGTACTGAAGACTACAAACTTTTAACCATGACAGATATGCAGGTTTCCTGAAATAGGGGTATATACCCCGAAATCATCCATTTTAATAGGATTGTCCATTATAAACCATCCATTTGGGGATCCACCATTTATGGAACCCCCCATATCAATACACCTGATAGTGCAAAAAAAAGTCCAAAATCATCGTTTAGCTCTTGAACCATGATCCAGCTGTTCAAGTCACAACCAATATACACGGTGATGCCCCCGGTTTGTGAATTGGTTTATAACCCCATCTAAGTGTAGATCTACGATAGACCCTATAGTTAGACAGTTATCCTACTGAGTTCACCAACTTAAACATCAATCAACTATAAATCCAATTTTTCATGCCATATTTCTTTTGGTTCAATCTTGATTTTTGGTTGAAATCATACCTTGTAGCTGCCAGCTTGGCCACTTCCTGGCTGCTTGGGCCTAAGAGCTGGAACTGCTCGGAGGTAAAACACTTCTCTGCCTGGCGACTGACTTTGCTCCTGGTCCCTATGGGACCCTCCAGTCATTTCACATAGCTATTAGCTATGGAACATCCCCGAACGGGCCATGTAGGGTTTAAGATGGCTTTGATGGAAACATCAGAAATGGGGAATGGGGCCAAAAATGGAATACAACTACCCAAACAATATGATATTCATCCATTCATATTAAACACACACCGAAACCATGGTCTTTTTTTGGGATGAAATCACCTAAAATTTCGGGATATCTTAGGGATATTTTTGTTTGACCAACCAATGGGGCTGTAACTCTTGGGAGACGGTAGTCTGGTAGTCTCCAACAAGATGCCGAGTTGAGCCACACATCATGACATCATATGATATCTATATATATATATCATGTCACCGGAGAGTCTAATCCTATCCCATCCCATCAACGACAAGAAACCCTGGCGGAGTGCATTCGATGAAAGGTGAAGGAATTATAAGGAATTGAGTCATGAAAATCATGAAACATAGCCGTATCCCATTATGGTTGCTTGATGGGTATTCCTATTATGGGTTGCAATCCCCAATCAAGCTGGTAGTACAATCCCCTATGATAAGAAATCAACGGAGGTGTTTTCAATGGCTCAGCTAGCCCCGCAAAGAACACGTCAGTCTGACCCATAGTTCACTGTACACCAAATGTCCCTTCTTTTGACCAAAATACACATGTAAATCAGCCCAGTGATGTCCGAACCAATAGCATGGTCTTGGATTTGCCTCAGGAGTCCATAAACATCATAAACACATGGCATCCTATAGAATTCATGACATCATATTCCAGATAGATTCCGATTCCCCTTTTGTTAGGAGCTTTCCTATGGGGGTAGCCCCAAATCATGGTGACTTTGCATCTAAAACATCAACTAAGAGGCTTATGAGACTTATATCCCATTCAATTCCATTGAATCACCACTAAATCTCATCAATCTCATGAAATATCCCCATTCAAAACACCATTATGAATCTTATACACCATGAGATTTTATGGGAGAATATAATTTGGTGTTTTATGGTTCTTATAAGTTCTTATATTCCATTCACCATAAAACACCTATATATTCTCCCATGATCTCACCCATTACCACATTTTTCCCATGGGAAAATCAGAGAAATCTGAGGCTCGAGACTGCCGAGCGTAAACGATCATCCACCTCCCACAAGTGGAGAGATGATTTTTCTACGCTGCCAAGATCAAGAGAAAACACCTGCGTATACTATATATATATGTCTAAAGTATGTATGTATATATATATAGAGTGTGTATGTATGTATATATATATTACTGTGTATATATATATACATGTATACATATAATTATATGTATATACACATGTAGATGTCAATGTAGATGTATATATTCAGCCAACCAACAAAAATGATCAAACATTACCATAAAAGGCATTCAAAACCGATCCAATCAACACACCCAGCTGCGCCCAACAGCGACCTCCTCTTTGAGGAGCGCATGTCGCCGTGCCAAGGACAGCAGGAGCTTCACCATCTGAGGACCGATGGTTTTGAGGATCGAATGTTGGAGATTTCTTCAATGGATTGGTTTAAGGGAAAATCTACAGGAAAGCCCCATATTTAATGGGAAAATCTATGGTTTCCTGTAAATTTTCCCTTAAACCAATCCAATCATTTCTTGAATTTTCTGGGGATTTTAAGCATCAACCAGTCTTGTTTTTTGGGAAAACCTGTCAATACGATTAATACGGTATATCAATTCATCAAAAATCCCAAGTCATGAAAAATCCCAATACAAAGTGGTTGCTGGTGCAATAACCATCTTGAAAAATATGAGTTCGTCAATGGGAAGGATGACATCCCATATATTGTGGACAATAAAAAACATGTTCCAAACCATCAACCAGTGATTATTAACCATGATTAACCATTATTATCCCATATTATATAAACCATATTAAACCAATGTTCCAGTCACCACCAACCAGCAAAAAAAACGATTCCGTGAAGTGATCGCCAGAGTTTCCACCCTTACCTCCTCAAAGGGCCACTGAGTTAGCACAGTGGCCGCCACCGCCGCCTTAGATCGGCAAGACGTTGGGTCAGTGGCAATGTGGCAAACCTTCGGCAAAACCATGGGATCATGTTGTGGGTCTGAACATAGGAGATACCGCATATATAACCATTTTAATAGGGAACATCTCGGAAAATCACATATTATATATATATATGTGTATTGATCATTTAATAATCCATTGGGAATTGGGGGGTACCCTGTTTGACAACAAACCCATGTTCCTTAATGATCTATGAATCTTTTTTGGCCTCATCGAAAATAATGCTTCAACCTGAGGTGTTTCCACACGTTTCCATCTACCATCGCCCTCACTGAGTTTGCCCAGAAATGGCCCTATGGTTCAACCATCAAATTTGGAGGGTAACATCCCCAAGTTGAAACTGAGCACATACTATAAAATAATATAAGCAACATAATTTAACATAATTTAACTATAATAGTGACAACCATATGACAAACCAAACATCACATGTTGCCAACAAAACACAGACATTGCACGCCCCAAACATCTGAGCTCTAAAAAAAAAATCGGGTGCGCTCCATGGATGCCGCTGAAGTGCCGCAGGTCTCACCAACACTTGGAGGTTGTCATCCTTTGAAGACCTGGGGGATATCGCCGTTGGAGTCTCCGAAATGGGGTATACCGGTGACCGGGGGGACCTCTATCAATTTCCATTTGGAAGGAACAATGATGAATTTGGACACAGCCATGTTTTGCCTACCCAACAAATGATTATCTCTTTTTGCCTGCCTTCAAATCATCATTTTTGTCAGGACACCGCAAGTATTGTGGATTATCAACGTCATCATGGTGTGTCCTTGGTGTATCCACACCCTATGAACGTTGTTGTACGCTAAGGTTCCGTTTGCTCCTGAACCACTTCCAAATGCCGGGATTGGGGTTTCACACCCAGTAGTTTCTTGGGTTTACAGGTTGGCCAAAGAATGGTACACATGCATGCAAATGTCAGGAGTTGCAAATAACATCAAATAACATCAAATAACATCAATAACATCAAATTATCACCAACTTGTCACATGCCCACCAAAGATAAATTGAATTATAGTATAATGTTAAATCCCAATCTCCATAGGTTTCGGTGCTTATTCTGGTACAAAAAAAAATCAAAAAAACACATCAATCATGCAATTCATCGGACTTTAAACAATTCAGAACCACCGAGTCGGACCTTTTTTCTGCATCCCTCGTGCTTCGAACCCCATCCAAACTGGGGCGTCCCGTCGCCAAAACGATGTCCAAGATGAGTTGGATGGGAAAATTCTGAAACGCTTCCTGCTGAGTGTCTGCTTCACCATGTGAACCATCATAAAAACCATGTTCCGCCCAGGATGTGCAAACTGAAACTGCCAAACTTTGAACATTCAGAATACTCCAATCAACAAAAACAAGGTCTCTTTCATTTCCAGAAACAAAAAAGGCACGTTTGTTTAGTTGAACCAACTCGAGTTGGCAAAGTTTCTGATGAAACCAGGCCTTGCTGGCCAAGGTTTCACTGATGGCCACAATGTCGTCAGCCTTTGGAGGCGATAAAAAAAATATATCACCATATGGCAGTGTGTCAAAACCTTAACTACCCCTAAGATGTTCACATCAAAATAGATGGGATTTATGGATGTAAATAACCCACTAAAAATTGTATTTTCATAGGTATTGTTTATATACACCATATGATTTCAAGATCAGGACTGCTTTACAAACATGTGGCAACTCTGTAAAACAAATTGAGGTAAATTCACATCACCCCTGTTTGCCCAGAACCTTTTTCTTGGCCTTTTCATCCAGCAATGAACAACAAACAACCATCCGCTGATTTTTTTGCCCGCCCTGCCCCCCCCCCGGGGAGCGGCAATTGTGGATGAATGCTGCTTGGGGCTGATCAATGCTGCTTTGGGATGCTTTGGGTTCAACCAATAATTCTCGTTGGGTAGATCCAAAAAAAAAACTGCGTTTTTGTTGCTTGCATCCAGATGTTGCATCATTTTGTCGGGTGAATCCATTGTTCGAAGAACTCCAGTTTTTGTTCAAATCTGTCTGGAAAAAACACACCCAGCTTCATCGATTTTCGCCTGTCCAGGGCCAGCTCGTGCAGCCATCACCAACAAGGCCTCTGCCAGCTTCAAGGGTGAGGCGCTGGGAGCCATCCGCCTTGCCGTCCAAACATGGGATTCATATGGATTCATTGGGTGGGTGATTCCACCATCACGATTGGGATCCCGGGGGAAATCTAGGGAAGCCATGGTCACCCGGATACCAAGTTTGCTCAGTTTTGGGCCTCAACAGCGCCGCGGCAGCTGGCAGCCTGGCGTGGCATCCCTGGATGGGAAAGGCCAGCTTTGGGGGGCACCACCCTACCCGTCGAGCCTCACACCGCAGTCCGCCACCTCTCGCACCTGTGAATGCGATGTGGAACCAGAATTTTCATGCTAGGATGGAGCATAGTTGTGACCAACAAACGACGGCCCTGTTCATCTTTACCCGACTTTACCCATGCCATCTGATAGATCGACAGAAATTCATGGCGCACCGCGGGCATATCTGAGGATGGACGATAGTACTGGCATGGATGCAATCAAACACCCAATCGAATGTAAAGTTGTAGGACTGGCTGGGCTTTGACCCTACCAGCCACTCTGGCTTTGCAGGTCTTATTGGGACACACCTTTCGTCCATTGCCATTTGTTGAAGGTCAAACCCGTACTGCTGCTTGCGGCTGTCTAAGAACGTTGCTAGGCATGACTGGTAGCCTTGGATACCCTTCAACAAATATCAACAACATTTTTTTCAAGATGATATCCCCAACCATTTTCCACACTTTTTGGCTGGATATTCTCCCCAAAATAGCGCATAAATATCGCCCATTCAACTCCCACCAGAGTTCAGCCCAGGTGCAGAGTCGACATGGACATCCGGGGCAGCCACATGCTCGGTTGGGGCGACTGGCGCGGAGCATGTTTGGGCCATTTTGGGCCCTTGGCCTTGGAGCCTTGGGGTGATCTGCTTGGTGCTCCACCCCAGGGTATGTGGATTGTAACTCCACCTTTTTGAACAAAATAAGTCGGGCACTCGCCCAGCTATAATTGAAGTGAACCAAGCTGCTTGCGATTACTGGGACGAGCTACTTAGCAGAGAGATGCAGATTTGGCTTTACTTCATAGGCTGCGAATTCCGCTGCGAAACTTTGACTGGATTGATGTATCCAACCCTGTGAAAATACAGGTCCATCGGACTAATCCAAGATTAAAAAGTGAAAGGTTGAAAAATCCCTTGTAATCGTCGGCTAATGGAAGTTCCCATGATGGATTCTGGCGATCATGTTCCCCGATATATTATATTATTGTCCATCGCTTGCTACACTCCCCAACATAGCGTGTAGCATAGTTTTTTTCAAAAAAAACATGGGGTACTCCAAAAATTTGATGGTTGATCATCATTTTCCCTATTCAAAAGGATTATTTTCTAGGGTCAATCCCATTTTCACCCATATCCTAAAATATCCTAAAATCATCAACCGTGACTTCCCGCCTCCACCGCTGAGGGTCTTCAAGAGGGCCGTTCCTGCGGCAGCTGCGGTGTTGCTGCTGTTCCTTCCCTTTGCCGTGTGAAGCACCTGGTGGCGACGGCGCCGCCCCGGCCGAATTTCTCCCAAGGGACAGCCCTGAAATCGTTTTGCTGGAGTCTGACGCTGGTTGGTGGTTGACCTACCCCTTTGAAAAAATATGAAGGTCAGTTGGGAGGATGAAATTCCCAATGGAAAATAAAACATGTTCCAAACCACCAACCAGTGTTTCTTCGTATGCAACCGGCAGTTTTTGGGGATCACTTCATGCGGACACAAAAATGAGGAAAAATCGTTTTGAAACGTGGCTGGGCAGAGGAGCGGCAATGGTCATCCCGCCCATCCAGCCATTCCGCAAGGATCTAATTTCAGTGGCAAAATGACGACACAACACATTCCATCCTGCAAGGCCAACATGATACCGCCATACATAGCGAAACTCTCCTAATCTGAAGTGCACTGCTGCCACTGACCTACCCAACGTTTGAGGGGCACCTGGAGTTCAGCCACAAGAGACGTTCCGTGAGTAAACCCATAAGCTGTGCTAAGCTGTGCGGAATGAGAGGATGAACATTGATGAGCATGAATTTTGTTGTTTATGGGACTTGGATGGGGTGGTCTCCCTCTTCAGACAGGGTGATCCTTGCAGTCAGTGAATGCTTCGCAGATCAGGAATATCTGCCTCTCTCTGCTCCTTCAAGCTTCGACCCTCGAACCTCGACCCATCTGGCTCCGGCAAAAAAACTGTGTGGCGACTGGCATGGTTTAGCGGATGGATGTACAAATCAGTATTTTTGGCCACAAAATCTCCGAGAGAAACGGCATACACATGCATACACCGCATCAAAGCTCTGGGTTTGGAGCCTTTTCTTCGTTCCCAAAAAGTGCCCCACTGTCCCACTGTGAGTCATCGCAGTTAGCAAATCTTGGCAGCCTCCAGCGTTTTGACTTAGCTCAGCTGCTGAGTTTCTGTCATCCGAGTGCCCGGCAACTTGAGACATGAGGTCGCCCTGGGTGATGGCTGATGGAGGATCTGCATCTGCGGGGACAGAGGGAATTGATGTTACCCTCTGGTTATTTAACCTAGCCATGAAACATGGCCCATTTATAGATGGTTTACCTATTAAAAATGGTGATTTTCCATGGCTATGTTAAATAACCAAAGGGTATATGAAAACTTCAGCCATTGATTCTGTCAACCACCATCACTTGCAAATCTGCATGGATGTAGGCATTGGCTGGGGTTTTGATGGTTATTGGGAAATCTACGCCCTCGGGCAGTTTGAACATAGCTGTCGAAAATCACCATGTTTTTGCCGGGGCTTCCAACAGTTTGCCCTAGAGCTAGAAAGTGACAACCTGCAAAGTGTATCATCAAAAGTGACAATCAGTAAATCATCTATACATGTGCCATGTTCCATAGCAAACTGTTGAATTATCAGAGGGTAATCCCATTAATTATATCCCAATAAACCACCCACTATATTCCAGTAAGTCCCAATTAAGTCCCATATATTCCGACTTATTCACCTGGTATATTCAATAATTATGCCTAGCAATCTGTTAGCCTACCTATGTTCAGCCAAGTTGCAGCTGCACATCTCTGCCCGCAGCACCGGGCAAGAGGAGGAACCTGGAACCCCAGTTTATTGGGGCAACCTCCCAACTATGAATAGACCCAATGATTTATTATGGGTGTCATAATGGAGGTCCTCCCAAATAAACTCTGAATAGTGTCCATATGAAATCGTCTGGGAGAAACTTGGGTCCATTTCGAGATCGAAATGGAAGGGGGTCCCAAAGTGACCACCACAGCATGAGAACACACCCAGGCCTCACGACGTCTGGCAGGGTGAAGCCTGCTTCGATCATGCCTCAGCTGCGCTGAAGGCTGGATTGGGATTTCACTGCGAAACATCGTGATTTGCCCAGCCAAAATGGTGATTTCATCTGGTAAAAATATTGCTGATCCAATCCGAAAAACCTGAAAACAATCCAGGTGTGTTGCTGGGTTAACTCGAGCCCCTAATGATAGTTGGTGGGTTTAGCCCACATGTGCATGTAACTAACCCACAGCAATGGGGTTAAACATCGCTAAACCACATACACGGAATATTTAAATATGATTAAATGGGTATTGATCCATGTTAGTCCCATCCCATTACAACAATCCCCTGTGTCTGGAACCCCACAGTGAACAAATCTGCTACTACACCAGCCTTTTTTTGGGGGAGGTAGTTGATCTTCACCCTGAGCTTTCATGCGCAATGTCACGTAGAATTGAACAACGTACATGTATTGTAATGTAATGTAATGTAATGTGATGTAATGTGATGTAATGTAATGTAATGTGTAATGTAATGTGTAATGTAATACAATGTAATGCAATGTAATGTAATGTAATGCATGCATGCATGATTGTATGATACTGTATATATAACCTTCTGGTGTTGAAACTATCGCAAGGCTTGCAGGGTATCAAGAGGCATCTGTTTCACCTGAAACAACCAGAATCCAAACGCAAAACCTCCTACTTTCCTGGGCATCCTGGGTATCCTGTAGGCACCCATGCTTTAAGAATCTCACATCATTTCCCAATTTTTCGTGGTTTTGCCCCAGTGACCTCACCAACAATACTTGAGTTTTGCATCGTCGAACTGGGATCTGACCACCAAAAAACGTAACACTTTTAAGACCTACACAACCAGCAAAAGCAACGAGATATGGTATGATTTTCCGTATTTGATGGTCAAATTACATTCACATCAATTTCCCAAAGAATCCTATGTTTTGCAGCTTAGCAACATACTTAACCATGTGTTCATTCCATTGTTTCAAGCACTTTTTTGCTCCAGAAAAAATCTCCAGATGTGCCGCTCTTCCAGTCATCCCAACCTGAGATCCCCGACCACCTTCCATCTTCTGGGCACCTTCCAGCGCTTTGTTGGCCAAGATCCGCGCAGCCTGAGGGACAGGGGACCCATGGGACCCAGGGGAACCATGGGACCCGGGTGCTATGGCTGGGAAATCCCGGCCAGAAATGGGGCGGGTCAAGGGGACATCATTGGATCATATTACCTATAAGAGTAATGCTGGGTGGTGGTTGACCTACCCATCTTGAAAAATATGAGTTCGTCAGTTGGGAAGGATTCTCCCAGATATTATGGAAAATAAAAAATGTTTGAAACCACCAACCAGATTATAAATCATCTGCATATGGTGGAATTGTAAAATTATGCGATGTTTGATTACCAAAGGGTCTGGCGATGAGAGTCTAGCAATGCTGGTGCTTTGAATTGAGCCACTTGGTCCAGTACTTCATACATAATTCGCATATATACTGTGGACTCATTTAGTGAAGTGATATCTGATATTGTTGACCTGATATTGATTCGATATATTTCGCCACAGTAATAATACAGACAAATACTCTCCAGACCCCTGGTTCAATGGCTTGGTTTAAGGGAAAATTTACAGGAAACCATGGTTTTTACATGTTTTTACCATTAAATATGTGGTTTTCCTGTAAATTTTCCCCTAAACCAATCTATTGACTGGTTCAATACTTTTTGGGGTTCCATATGATTTCATGTGTTTACGAGGGGAGAGGGGATTCATCTGGGCGCTAGCATAATCCTACTAGACGAGCTACAATGATGATGCTTCACCAACTTGGGGCTACTGGTATATAAACCCGCATTCATGGAATATATAGGTTATATAAGATATAATGGAATATATATGGAATATAACGGAATATATAAGATATATAAGTCCATGTGTAGATGGTGTTCCCATTTAAGAACCTCTATTAAACCGCTATTTTTTGGCAGAACAAAATCCTGCCGCCGACACTTCGGAGGTTTCTGTTCTCTCAGTGAGTGGCAGCACTGCGTTGCACCAGCACGGTGTCGTCGGGATCGTCCCCTGCATGGGTCCAACGTGCAGCGCAAGAATTCCACCCAAAAACAGCAAGTCTTGGGGAAGAATTTATTCTCCATTTGCAACAGATTATGAACACATATTAATGCATACTTGCATAATATAATTATATATATATAATATATATATATATGTATATATATATATATGTATATATATATATATCACATTGAAATCACATTCTCTGGAGATGGAGATGGTTCCCCTAAACCCAACCATTGTTTAAAGGAGGCTGCGGTCGTTGTGAGGTTGTCATTGGTCCGCACGCTGCAGGGGGGAATCATTCAATCATCCTTCCTGGGGGAGTTCGTTCATGAACGATGTATGAACCAAACATGTTTTGGTCCAGGAAAATTTGCAAGTTGGGGAAATGTAGAAAAATACTCCACAAAGAATCACCATTCACATTAATTGGGATCAGTATGGATCAGGATGGAAGCAACAGCTGACTTCCAAGCAAACTACTTGGTGCCTCATTCCAGCTAAGTTGATACCTCCAGAAAGAACTGGACATTGCCCCTGCCCTACTGGATTCACCGGCTTTATAACCCACAGCCGAGATGAGCCAAGCAATCCAGCTTTGGCCGCACCTCCCAGTTCCAGGACCTGCGCATGAGGTTTTTAGGAACATGATCTGCAAATGAGGAATGTTCCATAGCCATGTGCCAGAGGATACTAAGGCAATCCTTGGTCATGCACCTTTGGAGAGGATCTCTGGTTGTTGGTGGCCTCAAACTACTGGAAGTGGTCAAGTGGACCAATCGTGGTCAAGTATCCCATTTTTTGAACGCAAAAACGCACCAAAAAGAACAAGTTCCAGCCATGTTGAAGTCTACCACCCAAAAACTGCCATACATAATTTTAAATTGCTAATCTAACCCTCAGCCTGGAGTCACACAGGATCTTGGTAGCTTCCCACCACCCCCGGTTTAGGAACCTTCTCTGCGCTATGCAAGAGTTCGAAGGGAGGGATGTCGTTCTTGTCCTGGTCACCTTTTCCAACCACACGCCTTGGCATTAGGCCTCCTCAAAAGAAATACCTGGACCTTCATTTCTTTAAACGCACCATAAAAACGACATGCTCCTCTTTGCTCATGACAAAACCCTACAAAAATAATTACACTGTAAACCTGTCTAACATCCCCAAAAAAACCTGGTGCAATATGCGGATTCTCACGTTTCCCCACGACTTCTACCTCCACCTGGGGCTGCCCACAGAGCAGCCAAGAGCTGAATCTGCGCCGAAGTCGACTCCTCCGAATTCTCCTGGAGGCAGGAGGCACCCATGATGGCACGAAATGCAACACAATTAACTGATTCTAACGAAACATATGTTGTAGAAATGGAGGTATGGCCAAGAGCCGAAGACTCATGATTCACGATGATGTTTCAGTGGTGAGTTAACCAATAAGAAAAAAACACATAATTGAAAAAACACAGCCATCCAGGCCTCTGCATTTGCGACCTGCCAGGGTAAGAAAGAGCGCTATGAAACTCCCTTGTTTTTTTTCCATGATTTAGAAATGGACATCTCAAATCACATGTATCATGCACACGATTTCATGATTTAGAAATGGACAGTTACAATCAATTTCTTGGGTTTTTCTCCAGATTTTCCCCCGATTTTCAAGGCCAATTTTCTGCTCCAGGAACTTCTTAGCCTTGGCCAAGGCGGTCAATGCTCGTGCCAGGGCGCCCACGGGCAAACGATGCCTTACCGCCACGGTGAAAAATCATAGGCCCTCCAAGTAGCGCCATAAAAATTGGATAAAAAGGATATTTCACCACCTAGTTTTCGTACTTCTACCAATTTTGATGCAATTTGGACATGATATTCCATGTTCCCTGACATTCGGTCCCACTGAGGTCGTCATTGCCCACATGTACATACATTCATCTGCATATGGGTATGAAAAGCTGGAAAGTCACTGGGGACCATCATCCCATCTCCATGGCATCCATGGTAGCAAATCTTTGGAAAGCACCATGACCAACCAGATTCCCAGCAAACTAACAGGTTGCCATTTATCACCATTTTTCCACTATGTTGCACAATTTTGCATATTTATACATCTCTCTTCTAGTTTGAAATATGTTTGCAGATTCTGGTAAGAAGCAAGTGCCATCTAATGCTATATAACCACTTTATCATCCATATTGGGTCATTTTCCGATTCGCACACGGTTTCAAAATCGTTCCCTGGGGACATGGCAGCTCACTCTCATCCGTCTTGGACACGGCAGCCACGACCTGGCACAGTAGGTCAATGGCAATTTCAGGAACCTAAATTGGAGGTACCTACCGTATATAAGGCCTATGTAAGGCCTACGTAAGGGGATATACCCTCAAAATATGGCCTTATATGGTACAGTACCTCCATTTTAGGATCCTGGAATTCCCATTGAGTAGGTACCCGACATGGTAATACGTAACAGTTCGCGAAGTGGAAAATCACAATTTGTGGTAAATAATTAATCTATATTCATCTGTAAATGGCCATGTCCAAATATGTTCAATAGCTATGTCTGTTTAAAGGAGGATGAAGATATTAACTAAACATCATCCAATTGTATATTGGGGATATAACCTCCTACAAATACTTGAAGCTGAGATTCATCAAGTCATAGGGGCGGTTCATGGGTGGTTTCACCATCTCTTGGAATGGAGCTGGACAAACCGACTTTCGTGGGAGCCACCGATCAAGTGCAGGCATGTGAATGCAAGGCACAAAAACTGAACAGCATTTGGAAGAGGTTGCTGGTTTCAATTCGGTTTATCCGCCTAGGATCGCCTAGGTAGTTGGGAAAATAAACACCAGTTGAAAACAGCAAGCAGCGCGGATACAAGCGACCAAACTGCTCGCATGAGATGATGCATTTGGAAGTTCAACAATCATGATTGGCCAAAAGAAATGTTCATCTTCCAGCTTTTCGCAGGGCTCCCCTCAAAGTGATAAACGTTTTTTTTGGCATAATTAGCAGCTATTCACCCCCAAAAAAAGGCCAATCATTGGTGTTTTTGGGCCCACTCACTACCACCAACCCAGGGATGGGTCCACTTTCAGAAATGACTCCAGGAGGATCCAGCTACCAGGAGCCTTAAATATAACGAAAACCAGGGGAGTTCCTATGAAAACTGATCCACACAGGTCGTGGGGTTTTCAGTATCAATGTTAATTGACTGGAGGATTATATAAATAGAATAATTACACATCCCATGCTTGGGGCGAATGTACTACCCTCTCAGCCGCCTCTTGTGCTTTGGGTGTAGCCCGAAGCTGCTTCGCCAGTCTCTCGTGCTTAGGCCTGGCTTTAAGTCATTGAAGGGTCCCACAGCTACCAAAGGCTGGTCAATGTGAATATACCCGGGCGAGATACTTTGGGAATATAATGGTGAAATCATGCATAAATGGAGACATGATATGGATTGATATGGTAGGGACATCCATCAAAAATGGTGTTATAGCGCGCATATAAATAAATAAACATATAAATTGTAAAGACATAAATAAAAATAAAAAAACCTATATATAGTGTATATATAAGCTAAGGTTTATGACGGGTATAATGGGCACAAACATGGCCGGCGATGGGAAATCACCTACACATATCTACTATGTAATCATATGCAGTGACTTAAAAAAGGTCTTAACAGGAAAATCATCTATCTATCATTGAAAGTGGGACATATATATATATATATATAATGGACATACAATGGGATATAATGAGGATTCACCATGATTTCTTTTTTCTGTGTATCAAACATGGCTGGCTAGCCTGCAAATCCACGAGCTAAAGGTTTGAATGGGAAAATCACCTGTAATCTTTGGGCAATTGTCCCGCCATCTCTGGCTACCAGCGGCTATGACACCATCCATTTCGATCCCTCCGGGTTGATCATTTTGGCCCAAAAAAAACCCTTAGTAAACCTCCAGTTCACTAATAGGAGCGTCCCATCTGGCATTTTATCTGACATTCTATCCGGTATTTTAATGTATTTTATCTGGCATTCTCAGCATTCTCTCTGGCATTCTTTCTGTCATGTCATATCTGCCATTCTACCTGGAATTTTATCTAGACACTCTCACCTGGCAGGTGGGAAAAAAAACAATTACTTTACTTCGTGTGATCCCCACCATGACATTTATACATGTTCTTACCGGCACATCTTCTGGCATTCTATCTGACATATCTTCTGACATTCTATTTGGCATTCTATCTGGCATATCTTCTGGCATTCTATCTGACATATCTTCTGACATTCTATTTGGCATTCTATCTGGCATATCTTCTGGCATTCTATCTGGCAAATCTTCTGGCATTCTATCTGGCATATCTTCTGGCATTCTATCTGACATATCTTCTGGCATTCTATCTGGCATTCTATCTGGCATATCTTCTGGCATATATTCTGACATATCTTCTGGCATTCTATCTGGCATTCTATCTGGCATTCTATCTGGCATATCTTCTGGAATATCTTCTGGCATATCTACCTGGCATATCTTCTGGCATATTTTCTGGCATTCTACCTGGCAAATCTTCTGGCACTCTATCTGACATTTTATCTTCCTACATGAGGTCCGGCAGGGAACACTTGGCATGGATACTCGCGGTTGAGGTCCGGCAGGGAACACTGGGCGTGGATGGTCATGGTTGAGGTCCGGCAGGGAACACTGGGCGTGGATGGTCGTGGTTGAGGTCCGGCAGAGAACACTGTGGATCGCGGGTCGCAGTTGGACGAGGACGACGAGGACGACGAGGACGACGAGGACGACGAGGACGACAAGGACGACAAGGATGACAAGGAGGACGAGGAGGACGAGGAGGAGAGGAAGAGGAGGAGGACGAGGCAGGAGGAGGCAACTGACATAAAATCTAACAACCCTCACCTGGCAGGTGGGGAAAAACTGTTCATACAAAAACAGTCTAACGTTGCAAACCCAACCATAAACTACCACAATATGACCCTGCAGACATCAATGCGTGGTAAAAACAGTCCCGAAATGGCAGGTATGATTGGGTACCATATTAAATGCAATCTTTTCGTGGCCCATGTCCTATTCTCAGGCTCTGGTTCCCCAAGCCAGACCAAAAGTTTTTCCTCAGCAAGTCGGTGTAGAATGCCTTTGCATTTTCAAAGCTTCCGACACCTCATCCCAAGCGGATGACCTCGCTCTCGGATGACCATTTTTCGGGTCCAAACCTACAACGACCATGGTAACCACACACACCTGCAGTAAAGGTTCAGTCTATTCTACCGGCGATCAAACATGGCAATCAAACATCCCAACGTTAAAACCTTCATTTCCCAGCCATTTTCACTGTGGTTTTCTTAAACGGTCACCCGTTTGCGCTGCTTGGAGCTGCAGGTTTTGGGTCTCTTCAAATGTACACCCACAGCCAGCTGTACAGTTGGGCTTGTCTCAAAAAATGGCGGATACCCAAACCCGTCAAAATCCAATCATTTACACTCTGGAAATATAACATAGCTATGGAAAATGGCCCATATTAATAGATGATTTATGGTTATTTACCTGTAAACAATTGTGTTTTTCTTGATTGAGGCATCCCGCATGTTTAGAGACAAACTCCACGGGCGTCTACTTTGGCTCCGCGGGCATCACCTACTGTCCAGTCGGTGCAAAGTTGGTAGTCCAAGAGTATGCCTCAGGTCAAGCTGGGTCTGCACCAAAACGGTTCTTGACTAACAGAAATTGGATGAAATTGGATCTAAAGCAACCAAATGAGTTTTGTTGATCATCTATCATCATCAAATGCTGAAAAGATCCTCTAGTGATTGGGGAAAAAACATTACTCTTTACGTATCAGTCGGGTGTATCATCCCGTCAATGATTAAAAATGACACATCTTCAAACCACCCACCAAACAACAAACCCTTTTGGAAAGAAGGTCATGCCAGGGCGATCTTCCACAGCATGACTCTGATGGTCACCTCCCCGCTGCCAAGGAACAACCCCAGGCACCGTGAGGGAGCAGAACAGCCATCCAGCCGGAAGTAACCGCAGGTGCAGGTCGTTGTGCAAGGCAGTCCTTCGGGGGCCGAACGGGATCTCATGGGGGGATCCCGTTCGATAGTTTTGAGCTTTGACAATGGCAGTCCACAAATGGAAATAAGTGGCAAGCATGGGAACATACTGGGATCTAGTTGGAGTGATATTGGGAACATGGGGATACAATATGATATGTAGATTGATATGGTATGATACAATAGGATAGGACATACAATCAACAATCACCAATCAACAAAAACATGAGTGTGCATGCAAATGGGGTGAGTGCTCCACAAACTATGGCATGCTTTCCGGGAAAATGATGATTAACCCATATTAACCTGATTAGTCCGGAGACCCAGTTTTTTCCCCAGACCTGTGAACATCTTAACCAGTTGATGGTGGTTAAGCCATTCAAACGGGGGCTGCCAGCGGAATAATTTGGCAGCCAGCGGTTGGTTGCATTTTCAAAGGACAAAGAATCCATTGCCCATGGTCGAACTTTTCTCGCTAGTGGTTTCTAATTCTAGCGTGTTCCAACCCATCTCCAAAATCACTGTTGAGGCATTCTTTCGGGCTTTTGAAACCTGGCAGTCAAGGTGCACGGCAGTCAAAACGACCACAAGAGCCAGGGCAAAGACGTCTAACATGGCAAACTCTTTGATCCATCGCCTGCAGCTAATCGGTTGGTTGATTGGCTTGGCATCTTGGATAGTAATGTGGGAAAGCCTGGCTGCAACAGCTGCCATTTGGGGATGGTTTATCATTGGGTTTGCTAGACTACTGGTCACCATGGTGTAAACTAGGTCAACTAGGTACAATAGCAACATAGCTGAACATCCACCAAACAGATCCAGAAAGGAGTTGTTGTTTTTTTCCCACCTGTGTTGGTAACATGCCCAGTGTTGATTACTTTCTCATTATGGGGGATTCATTCACTGAAGCCTGCGTATAGTTAACATGGCATAGCGGCATAGCATTGCCATTCTTGGTAGTAACCTATTATGCTTGGTCATGCCCCTCTCTCCTTGTTGGAATTTTGAACCCGCAACAGTCATCGTCTAGACCTGATTACCAATGGCTGATTCGGTCATAAAATCATATCTCCACCAGCCTGACGAAGCTGGCCGACGGGTGCGGGATTTCCTGGAAAGTGGTTCACCCCAGGAAAGGAAGGGGGCTTAGAACATGTTATAAGTTTTACCCTTGGGTAATCAAACGTGGCAATGGACAATTCATTGATCAATGAAAATTCCCCATCTCTCTCTCCATCGCCTTCTCGAGTTGAGTTCAGAACTCAGGGCGAGTGAAAAACAACCGCTCCACCAGGGGATATTCCCCATCGCTGATTTTCCCATGGAAAACATCCATTTCCGGGGGATTACCTCTGGGTAACTGTCCAGTCAAGACTGGACAGGCCTACTGATGAACGGCTACACACTTAGGAGTCCTGGGATGAGCCAATACATTCCACGACCGCAAGCCCTATTAAATCCCATTGTGCCCATCAGGTATCAAAAAAGTGTAACCTATATATATATATATATAGACCATAAACTCCAAGATCTATCTGATTATCTGTCTATCTACTATAAATAGATGTATGTATATATGTATATGTAGATCTCACCTAGCAAAGGTATATGGATGAGAATATGAGAATAGGGCACCCAAAACCTCATGGCACGGCTGGTCATTGTTTCCGCCACTGGTATCACCCAAAACCTGCTGAGAGCCCTGGTGAATCCCATGGCTTAACCCATCTACTATATAAATGGCTTCTAAGTTATAAGTTATAGTTGTCAACTATAGTTATAACATGTTATAACTTATAACCCATTTATATCACAATATAGTTGTTAGCCACATACTAAATGGGATCCAAGTGATATACCATTCCATTCACTTCAACCATGTTTTTCGGGGCGATAAGTCATCCCAAACAGACGTACGCCCCACAATAGGGGATGGTTTATTGTTGGTAAAAAAAAGTCCCCATTATATCACCAAGTATTGTTGCTAGAGCATCTAGCTTGGTATATTATGGTATATTGTTGTTGGTAAAAAATATCCCCATTACATTCCATTCTATTATCAATAAAAAAGATCAGCATTTCTGCTCAGATTGGTGGTTGAATCGCCCCAAAGCATGGTTCAAAAGCAATAAGTACCCTTGGGCAATCAAACATGGCAATGGAAAATCCTCCATTTATAGATGATTTTTCTCAGCTATAAACCTGCATTTAGTTCGGGGGGGATTTTCCATGGTTTGATGACGCTGGAGGGCATTTGAAACCCTCAACCAGCGCTTGCAGCCAGGAGGCTCGTCCAAGCACCTCCTGAGCTGAAGATGTTTGGAGGGTTCTCTCTCTGGTATAGTCTAACTCGCTCATGCGAAATCCCCATGTTTTCAATGGCAATTAGATAACGGAAAAACCAAACATGTGCAATGCCCAAACTGGAGATTTATGAATATTTTCTGTTACCGTGTTTGATCGCTGGAGGATTTCATGACCAATTTCACATCAGTTCACCGCCTTCTTCCATCTTCTTCTGGGTTGAACATATTTGAAGATGAAAAAACGGCATCTGCAACACCGAGGTAAGGAAATTGTGGCTACAGTAGCCCTCCACCACTGCCCAACTGTCAGGGAAAACACCTGGCCTTTTCCAGAGGACGGACCTTGAACACCGTCTGCTGCCAACCTATTTTCCCATATTTTCCCCACATCTCCTGGCACTCTGTACAGTGTTGGCTCAGTTTCTCCAACTTCGAATTGAAATGGCGATTTAAAGGATGAAAACAGCACCAAATCACCGATCTGAACAATGACCTGCTATGACTTGCGCAAGACGTAGCGCATCGCCCGCTCCAGTGGACCTCGCCGCCGCGGCTCCGGCTCCGGCAGCCCGGAGAGATCTTCCTCTTCATCACTTTCCTCCGGAGGAGCGAAGGGATCCACTTTCGCCTCATCCGTCAGCTTGGACATGGTGATCCACTTCAATCCAGCCACCCCGTCGTTACCTCGGAACATGGAAAATGGATGAACATGGATGCATGTTTGTTTTTCCTGCCAATTAATTTTGGCATTTTACGGAACATAATGGTTTTAACCAATGGACCTATGGATGGGATGGGGTACCGCGTTTTCAGATAAACCCACATGACTTCAACCATGGCAGAGGAAACAACTTGCTAGGATGTGAAAACGTCCCATTTACATCCATTTACATCCAGTGTACATCCACTTATATACTATATACACCCGCAGGATGTGCATGACATGCACTGTTGCAGGCAAATGTCTGTCCAGACTTGGTTTTTTGATGGTTTTTGGCTCAACACTTCCAGAACCTCCAACTTATCCACACCACGACAAACAATGTTCCCCCGTTTGTAAACACGCCTCAAATCAGTGAGGGTAGTCCTGATTCCCCGCTTTATTGCGGCGAAACCCAGAAAAAGATCGTAACCATGCAGCCCCCTTTGTTGGCCATATCGTTTCATGACATCCCCCAAATAGCAAGTGATTGGGTAGATGGAATAGCCCCGCAGCTGAGCCAATCCCAAAAACCAAGGAGCAAGCCCCAGCGGCAAAAGGCAGTTCGAGCATGACTTCGTCATCTTGAAATTTTGCCTTCCTAAAGGGGGCCAATTTGGACCATGATCTTACCAAGACTAATCCAAGGTTGACCGATCGGCTTTCCCAAGATTTTCTGGTTCCTGAATCTAAGAATTCAATAGCTGGAGTTCCACCATCATTAATTCAGGAGGTGCAAGCAATGATGAGACATGGCCAAGACTGACCATTAGGTGGACATTGCATGCGCACACATCTGAATTTATATATTTTTTAATTTTAAATAAGCTAAATGTCTTATTTGCATTTATTTATTACTGGTTGGTGGTTTCAACCCCTCTGAAAAGATTAGTCACTTGGGATCATTATTCCCATATATTATGGAAAAACATGTTCCAAACCACCAACCAGTATTATATTCTCATTCACCCCGATTCCAATCTTACACTTGTACAATATGAAACCCGTTGACCTACACCAATAATCCACCAATGCCAAGGTCTATGCAGGTGGCCAGCTGCACTGAGTTCCCCCAAAATAACGTCAAAGGCTTTAAAGGCACATGCTGAGACGCCAGATTTCATGAGTGAATGAAATTGGGCTTTCTATCTTTCTAAAATGGATGTGTCTCAAAATGGGGTATACCATGGTATGCCATCAATTATGGCTACTTATAATAGGAACGATGATGATAAACGATTTTCAGACCCAAATGGGGCTCCATTTATCTCACTTGCTGCTGGTTCTCAGGTCTGAAGACATCTGAAGACACGAGTTTTTCAGCTTCATCTCCCTTAACTCGGCCGACCACCCAAGCATTCCAAGCAGCAGAACTTCAGGCTTTGGGTTTCGGATCAGACCTGGCTAAGGATATGAAAGGTCTCAACCCTACCAGAACTGAACCATCTCTGATGGACAACAGCTCGAAGATACTGAGCTTCTCCCACTTCTGTTTAAGAGCCATGGTCATCTTTCAAAATCATCATTTCGGCTGGGGCGTTTCTGAAAATTGAAGTGCCAATTAACAGTAACAAAAAACGGACAACATAACCACTGTATGATTCCTCATAATTCCTGGATGATTTGGGGCCCCCCACGTTAAGAAAACCTCCAGAGCCCCTGTCCTGCCCCCATGCCTTTCTGGTTGCACTCCAGAACTTCCAAACGAAGGCCTCCTTGTTCACCATCGTCGAAAGTGACCCTGGCGGTATAGTCATGAGCGAACCTCTCTCCTGGCGCTGAAAAAACAGTTGCAACTCATCCCTCCATGGCTAACCGGAAATTCTCCGATCAATGGAGGTTTCTAGCTGGGAAAATCCACTATAGTGGGGGATTTTCAATTTCTATGTTTGATTGCCGGAGGGTAAATCAAGAAGGATTATTGTCCAAAATAAGGGAAGGACAAGATCAATGGATTTGTTGAACAAACACACCTGCAGGAAACCATGGAGTGCACATGGTTGCACATGATTGCACATGATTTTACCACTTACCACCACATCTGGAGGCTTCCTGTAAATGATGGGAACATAATGCAGCCTAGTAATTTATATAACCCTGCTGACTGGAGAATCATTCATTTTCGATGATTATTATCCGTATCCCTTTTATTTTCTGGGATGTTTTATTGCCGGCCATGTTAGGTATTGCCAGTAAGGTCCCTCAAAACAGGATATCACCACCAAACAAACCATCCCAGTGAACCATTGGTTGATTCACCCAATTCTGGGGAAAAAAACAAATATTCACCATATTCAAACAATTAATTTAAACAAGTAATGAACTGTAAACAACTATGTAACCCCCATTATTCATGGCTTAGAAGGCTTAGATCCACGATATCACACTTTTTCCATCTTTTTCCTGCATGTGTTCCCTCCAAAAAATACGACGCCATGCCGAGACTCCCATAGTGTAGGGGTCAGAGTCCGGATAACGCATTAACGACGTAATCTCCTCAGTGCTGGGTTTTTGGACCCTGGTGAACGTCCTGGCTTAACATTCAAGGTTTGACATTCATATAAGCCCATTAAGGTTGATAGATAGACAGGTAGGTAGGTAGATATAGATATTTATGCCAAAATGTGATATTGATTCCATCCCCTTTAAAATAAGCTCCCTTGGAACCCTGGCTTGGCACTGGATCTCTTCATGTTTCAACTGCTTGTTTGATTGATAAAACTCAACCGCCATCATCAACGGCCCATAAAGGTCTCCCACGAGCCATCCCCACAAACACAAACAGAATGCCATTCACTTCCAAAGGCTACAAACCACTAAATAGTACAGAACGGTGCTGCGTTCGACTCCGAAATTATATGAAATTATACCAATTTAATTCACAAAACATGAATAATTACTTCAGGCCATTGTGTGCTAATTTTCCACATCAACTGTATACATAAAAAACGATTTGGCCGCCCAGTCGCTGTTTCATGTACACCTGAGCATGTTGTCACCACGGATGTTGAGGGGACCTTTGGGGCCCTTGCACAGAAAATCAACCGGGTAGACTTGGGAGAAACGGCTCCCTTTTCTTGGTGATCATGAATGGTTGGTGGTGCAATAACCATCTTGAAAAATATGAGTTCGTCAATGGGAAGGATGACATCCCATATATGAAATGGAAAATAAAACATGTTTGAAACCACCAACCAGATGAACTCATGTTCATTTATTTTCAACCCCGGGGTAAACATACGAAATGACGCGGGAAATCCAGTCACTTTTCCCGTGAAAACCACCCGATCTTATGCGATCCTTAGAGGGGGAAAATCATCCCACTGCCGGTTCGAAGGATCATCCCACTTAAGTAACTGGTTGGTGGTTTCAACCCCTCTGAAAAAATATTTGTCAGTTGGGATCATTATTCCAAATATATGGAAAAAGAAAAAATGTTCCAATCCACCAACCAGGTAACCATTTGGTAGTAAGCCATGTCAAAAAATCACGTCGGGAACGAGAAAAAACTGGGGTTAAAGCACCAACGCTTAGATTGAGGGGGACCCTCCAGATTCCAAAGTGGTGCAGAGTTTTTTTCAGTTTGTTTACAGCACCGAAGATAGACAAGTTTTTCGATGTTACGACCCCGAAACGGCAAGGAACATTCATCGTCCCAGAAGCGAGAAGAACATATTGGACCCGAAGTTTTAGGAGAAAATTCGGGAGAACAACAGGTACAAACATGGGAGATCCCAGAATGTATGCCAAATCCAGAGATAGGTGGACGATGCTGAAGATCGAAAAGTCTGAAACTCTTCCATCTTTGGTATATTTAGATATATCTAGTGCATACTTGAGGCAGATTTCAACTGGTTGGTGGTTTTAACCATCTTGAAAAATATGAAAGTCAATGGGAAGGATGACATCCCATATATGAAATGGAAAATAAAAGCCATGTTCCAAACCACCAACCAGTCAATGAATTTTCATGCCCAACTCAGCTGAGTGGCTGATGTTTACCGTGCCACCGTGGAACTCCGCCTTCACGCTGGCCGTGGTGTTCCGCCCCGCGGGCCCATCGCGACGCCCAAGGCGACTGGAGTCGAAGTGATACTCACCTGGTGGTGCACTTGGGGAGCATACACCCAACAGTTGGGATAGAATCCTAGTTTCAGCTTCAGTTTGATACACAACCTTTAACACTATACTTTTTAATTACCAGTACATAATATTACATACTGTATGTGGCAAATTAAGGCAATAAAAAATAGGACGTCAAGATGAGGCGGATGAAGCTGGAAGGTGTCATGCCTATATCCATGTAAGAAACAAGAATGGGGATTCTGACCTATCATTGTAATTGACGGAAAACTGTGCTACAAATGGCATAGGACCCAGGTTGAAAGGAGCTTCGTGGCATTTCCAACTTCCCAAAATGAACCTGCTTCGGTGCTCCGAACTTTGCCGGTATCAATTGTGATTTCCCATTGCCAGGTTCGATGACCGGTGCGAGTCATATGACTCAGGTGACCCTCAGTCAAAACCCCGCAGCCTCCTCGTTGTAGTTCAGAGAAATACTGTATCTCACATTCCCCGAAACTTAAACACACATACAATCATACACACAACTTCCGAAAGACCGATGTCCCTCATGAGTCTTGATGCACCATATTAACATGCACACAACTCCGCAAATTTCCGTGTGGTGAAACTGCCCAGCCTGAAGGACCGGGCGATATCACCAAGGTCAGCTGCTCTTTCTCTGTGATGCCATGCTCCTCTAAGACCCAGTCATCGCTCAGAGCGTCTAAGCCATGCAGGAGTTTGAACCCTGAACCTGTGCTGAAGTCGACGCTTGATTAATCCTGATTAAGTGGGTGGGTTTTCCCCAACCAGCTCAACCAGTGACAATTGGCAACTAACTTATGTTTAAAATGGCAGCCCTAAATTAAGCAGCCTTCGGGTTTATGAATCTGAGGTTACCATTATTTATGACCTTCTGGGGTTGACATTCTCAGATGTTTTATGATGTTTTACTGTACGGCATATCCCAAGCATCTTGATGGACCCCTCAAACATCTCCACTTGCTGAGCGCAGTCACCAATCTGTCCAAGCCGATCCCTCCAAACGACAATTTCTACTTGTTCCAACTTCCCAGTTTTTTCCCAGTGACTTATATTTTTGAACCTGCATGACCCGATCTCGCTTACTTTCTCTAACGTTTTCCCATCAGATTTCTGGGTGCATTCCCTGAGGACGGGAACTTTTCCAAGGAGCAAGACGCCGCCTGACACTCTTCTGATTCCTGGGCTGGAACAAATAACCCTGCTACTTGGCTAACCTCAGAGAACATCTACAAGTAGAAGAGAACATCTACAAGTAGAAGAATTCTAAAGACTTTGGTTAAGCAAGCTATCGCTAGATGGCTGGCGGGAACCACAAACCTCCCCCTAGGGGAGCTCTGCATTTTTCTAGCAATTTCTTGCCCATATTCCAGGGCCGAACATATTCCATGCCAAAATAGCTGGGAAATTTCAGGGAATTGCGAAGACCCCTTTCAGGTGAAATTTGTATTTCATACAGTTTGCCAAGTATTCCTTTTCTTCTGGCACGTACGTTGTCGACTGTACATGTTCTTCCCCAAAGAAGATCCTTACTTTCAACAATTTCTGGAAATGTCATAATTAAAAATCTTGAGCTTTCCAAAAATGGATTAATAATGTTCTTATGGAAATTTGTCATCTACACTTTTCACGATCCCAAAACCCAATTCATAAGCTTTAAGCTTATGTTCTGGCACGCTTGGCTGGCCTTTCATCAGCAGCGCCATCCCCATCTTTCTTGACATCTTTGTGGCCCCGCAAAGAGCTCTGCACAACAGGATCTGGGAACACAAATCATCGACGATCCTGTTTTCTTCCGTGCAAAATAATTCCACCGATAGAGTACGATGCCACCCCTGGAGTGCGCTAATTTTCTGGAATGCGAAAATAAAACAGTATGCGTGGCCCCCTTCGACCTTCCCCATGAATCCAACACCAGTTTTTTCCATCATATACCAGAAAATTATCACATTTCACCCTGCTGAGCTTTTTTTTTCTTTTTTCTTTTTTCTTTTTTGGCCAAAATTGCCTGGAATGCGATAGTATGTGCAACTACAGACGTCTCACGAAAAACCTCTACCTTTCCCATATTCCAGAAAACGTGATTCCAGGCGATTTTAGCCCCCCCCCCAAAAAAAAAAACGAAAAAAAAAGAAAAGAAAAAAAAACGAAAAAAACGAAAAATTACCGAGTACAAAGATTTTATGGAGTGCGAAGATCTTGCAGAGTGCGTGGATTTTATAGTATGTGCGCGTCCCTAGCTGTGGAGTGCGATGTCCCATGTGGAGTGCGAAGAATTTGTGGAATGCGAAGAATTCCGAGTATGCGTGGCTGGTATAGAGACCACATAGGGAAATTTCGCGGCCAGAACCAAAATTCCAATCCCAAAGCCGGCCCAAACTTCCAGGGGCACACCAGTGGGTTCTATTTTTCCAAGTTCACCTTGGGTGAGGTCCCGGGGAAGAAACTTGCTAATTTTTACTTAGCCAACCTTTAAAAACGTTACCTTTGACAACCCTGTCCTTCTTCTGTAGACAAATGAGGAAACTTCCTTATCAAAGCAGCCTTCAATTCATTCAACGTCCACAGCTCCTTTGGAACGACATAGGGGATAGAAAGCTGTGGAGGGGCATTCAATGGATTCGCCGTGGGCCAACTGTTCCCTCCAGATTGAGCTGAAATGCCTATCAAAGTAACATACCAAAACCCAGGTCTGGAGTACGATGAAAACATGGTATGCGAAGATTTTCTGAATATGGGAATGTTGCCTTTAGAATTTTGGAATCCCAGGAGCCCCCCACTACTTGATGATCAAATCACCATTTTGGATGGCTAACACCCCATTTCTTGATGGTTAAACATGCTTAAACCACTTGAAATCACCATGAAGTCACCATGTCTCACTGCTGAGCTTCCCTGATGAGCTCAAAGAGTTTCTTCTTCAACGTGGCAATGGTCTCGCCCTCCTCGAGCTCCACATCAAACTGCCGCCCCCCAGCCGTGGAAACGTGTAGCATCTTCGAGGCCATACCGCCAGGGCAACCGGGGGAGCCAGGAAACTGCGGAGGATTGGTGAATCAAAATCACCAATCACAGGATTGGTTTAAACGCCATAGGTACCACGGGGGGTAAATTGGGTAAGTCTACTGGTTTTCCCCCTTGTGGCCATAATGACCACCCATAATTGGTTGGAGCAACCCTGAAGAATATCTTATAGTTTCTAATAGCTTTTAGGGTTTTAACCTGGGTCCAAAAAGAGGCCCGCAAGTACCCAAAAAGATGCCATACTTATAGTATGTTATTAACTAACTCGTGAAATCCAGCCTAAATTGTGATGACTTGAACTTTTCAATCTCCTTTCGGACCGACCAAGGCTCAAGAACCACCAGCACCACGTCGAGACATGGCATGAGCAGCAGCAAAATGGCCTCAGGATATGGGCGCGGGATGGGAAACTGGCGGTTACTGCAACAAATACCCTCTGGTAAACTAACATAACTATTGAAAATCACCATTTTTAATGGGTAGTTTTCAACTATAAATGGCTATTTTCAATAGCAAACTGTTAAATTACCAGAGGGTACCTTCCATAATGCGACGGGTACCCAATGATTCAATTGATGGAATGGGGTAGCCTGTCTCCAAAAAAAACCATGTCTCAAGATCTGAGACAGCAGCCTTTTATCCGTGCGCAGGGGAAATCATCGCTCAATTTTACAAAAGACATTGTTTGGTTGGTGGTTTCAACTCCTCTGAAAAATATTAGTCAGTTGGGATGATTATTCCCAATATATGGAACAATAAAAATGTTCCAAACCACCAACCAGTTGTGAATCTTGCCAAAAACCCCGGCAGTCAAGTCATGATTGGAAACATCCCCAATTTCGAGCCCCAAAAAAGTGGCAGGAGCCATCTTCATCCGTGGGCAGATCAAAGACATCCAGCTCGGCTGCCACACCAAAGAAATGGCAGCGAAGGGGAACCGCGCCTGAGTTTCAAGGGATTACTTGGTGTTATTGGACCGGAACCCACGTGGATCAAACCAACGGTCACCGAACACGGCAAAAAACGGACCGGTGTAGGAAAAAACCTTGAAGATCCGTAGTTCCAGAGACTTTTTAGAACTATCTCCAACTAATCTGAAGCAGCACCAACTGGTGTCTGGATTTGTTAGAACCGCTTGGGTCCTGGCGTGAAAAGCTCGCCGGGTGTGGATGTTTTGAAGCTGAGCTTCAACCATGGCTACTGGTTACTCGTACTACTTTTGTTCGAAATCACGAAGGAACCGAACCGCTCCCAAGTTTGCCAGAAATGGATAATATACGGTAAGCGAAAAATCCATTGGAGGTTGATTGATTTGGGTGCATTAACCAGCATCTTACTGAGATAGCCGCCACTCACACCATTCAACCACCATGCAAGCGCCAAGAAACCCACAGGGACACCACCAAGCTGACAATGGAAATCTGCGCATCCAGACCAATGGTTTGAAACTGCACCTGGCTGCCATGGAATGGGGCCATGTTCCGGCAGAATGAGCGAGGTCTGCCAAGGATCCCCGCGAAACTAAGGGAAACAAAACAAGATGAACATGACAAACCAAACTTCCACCCCGGAAGGTTCCGAATTTGCCAACAATTTTCAAAACAGTGACCTATTTTCTGGACACACCTCAGGTTCATCGAAATTCAACCAGTTGTGGTAACTGTGACTTCTGTAGTCTGGCCCGGGCTCTCAACAATTTCATACAATTTCCTCATCTGGATATGGGCCATTTTTTTTGGCAGAGAACGGATGGTCTATTGTGGTTTAATAGGGTTTTATATCTATATAAATCAATACCAAGTTACACCTGAACACATTTCTGGCACACAATCATTAACAACCCGTTGGGAGTTGTCTTGTAACTTGGAACCCTGCTCGGTCACATGGTTTGTAAAATTGTCCTCAATGGCAATCACTTGGGATCGCACGGGGTAGCCCCAAACCCACTGGTTTAGCATCACATAGCCCTGCCAGTGGGGAATATATATATATTATATGCTGGATTTTCAGACCCCAATCGGAGAATCAACCCCTAAAATCATTGGCACTTCCCCTTGCAGAGCACCTTTAAGATTGGTAACAGCAGCACCACCACAAGGGCAGCAAGTGCCACAAGCCCTGCCAACATGGTCATTGCCTAGGGCTGCTCGATGTGCTCGTTGAGTGGGATCAAGAAGAAGATGGGGTAGAACTGCTTTGTTGGTGAACTATTACCAGCTAGAAAAACATATCATGTTAAGAAGAAATTCACACAGAAACTGGGGGGTCCCATTGTGCAATGGATTGGGCTGAAAGGTCAGTAATGATAAATCATAAAATTTGCTGGTTAAGCTCCCATAAACCCCTCATCGGCCAACTAATTCCATCCGCCCCATATAAAACCACCAAGAAAGCAGGGTTTCATGATGAAATCACATATGTTTGGGACATATGTTCAGGGGGATTGTGAAGATGGAATCGCAATGCGATCTCTTTAACATAGTATGATCTATTTAACCTAGATTTGTTTGGGACCATTTATTATAAGGTGTGTTTGTTTTTATGATAATTCACCAAACAGAAAATAAGTGTTATCATCCGGCCATCTGGGAATGATTCTGAGATACCCTGCAAAAACAATAGCTTGTGAGCTGGTAAGTAGAAATTCAAAGTTAAATTCTTATTTACAGTGTGTACCGGTAACAAACAAAGACTAAACATCATTAATCATCACTAAACATCAAACATCAGCTTTACCCATCCAAAGTTGACCTAGTCATCTCTTTCCCGCGGCATCCTCGCCCCAGCTGTCGGAGCCCAGCTGTCGGCTTCACAGCTTCTCGCGGCAGAAGTCCTGCCTGCGCGGAGGGGCATCAAAGATTGAGTTTTTGGAGGCTTTAATCAGCCTGAAATGGTCTGTTTTTTCACTATTACACACATATACAATCTGGTTGGTGGTATACCTACCCATCTGAAAAATATGAAAGTCAGTTGGGGTTACTATTCCCAACATATGGTAAAATAAACATGTTCCAAATCACCAACCAGAAAAACTAAAGAAATACATCACCAATAGATCCGATATACAACCAAGGTTTCGATTTGTCAGGGGATAAACCCAACTTTGGCTAATGCGGTAGAGGTTCCTACGGGAAATCCACCAGTTGGGTTTCAACAGTGGCCATAAAAAGACATAAAGCCATGAGTAACTTTTTTGGGGTCCCAAATCTTGAGACAGCCCACGGTTCACCGGTTCACTTGGTCAAACATCCGCTGTTCTTGGAGACGAAATGATATGGCCATGGCTGCCATAGACTTTCTCCCAAACGATGTCTCATTTGGTAGGGGTCTTTGCTGGAACCTCCCTCTCTAAACTGTGTTGGATAGATCATGATAGACCATGATCAACCAACATTCATGCTCCATAAATTGTCACACATCCTTCTTCGTGGAGAAGAATCCTGATCAACGCTTGTGTTCCTTCGTAATCAAAATAGTATTCAATTCGCTAATTATTTTTTCTGCGATTTCTTTTCACGATGGCCCGCAATTTCTCGTCAAGACAACATAAGACATGTTTAAATTGGATAAGTTATGATGAAGCCAAATGGTTTCCACGTACTATGTCATGTCATAAGATAATCTCACCACAAACAAGTGATACATGTCTGTTCAAAATGGCATGATTTTATTCCAAAAAAAAACGTGGGGTTGTTTCAAAGTTCGGAACTCATTCCATTCCATGGTTTTAGAACATATTTTTCCTACTGTATGCATGAGCCAGCAATTGTTGGGCGTCTCCCATCACAAACATAAACATGGCCAACCTCAGGCTTTGAAACGAACCGCAAAAACATGTCGCTTTAGCTGATTATTAAAGTAGCTGTAGCCCATCAAAATGCCACGAAAAAAACTATAGTCTATAGTCAATAGTACTGAATTAATAACTTCTCACAACGGTTTCCACCAGAACTTATGTTGGAAACGTACCCATTTCAATGTGATTTAACTGATTAAACTTTATCAAGCCCTTACTTGACCGCAAGCCATCTTTGAATCAACATCATTGGCCATAAACACATATAAACACCAATTGAATGGTGATTAAACCACCACTAACACCATCCGCTTTGGCAAATCAGTTTGAATCAATATACTGCTCACTACCCATCAATGGTGATCTTCAACCATTTCTCGATGATTTTCCCACTAAGATACCTCCATTTTTTTGATTTCCCAGCCACGCTTGAGGACACTTTACCGGGTAAAGCCCCGAACAAAAACCCGTGGAAAATCACCATTTCTGAATGATTCTTGGATCAAAAATGACCAGTTTGAATACACCAGCGCCATCGCGTTGAACCTCATTTGAATCCATCAGCAAAGCACCTGCCACACTGAGGACCTAACGAGCGGCAACCCGCGGAAGCAACGTTCAGAAAAGGAGAGAAAAGGGTGATTTTGCTTAAGAGGAACACTGCCAAACATGGTGAGTCAAACCGCTAAAATATACTAAAAATATCAAAAAATATGATTTCATGGCATTTTGTTTTGGTGATGTACCCAGCAATTTAATGGTCCTTATTATTAGAGATGTCTGATTCTACTTGACCGAACATAGTATAAACTGCCAATGGTCCTTTTCGGTGGCTACCTTCCAGGGCTATGTTGAATTCCCACAGGGGCCGCTGCCCAACCCCGAAAAAACATGAAAAGACTGAAGCACCGCCCTAAAAAAAGAACCACGTCCACCAGGTCCCAAGATGTCCCAAGGGCGCAGTAGCTGAGGAAGTAGTAGAAGCCATCGTGCAAGTTGATCTGCCGGTGATTCCCCTTCTGGTTGAACCCATCAGGCTTCCGCGACTCCACATGCGCTGGTGTCTCAATATTCCCAAGCCTGCTTGGACAATACTCTGCTAACATGACTCGGAGCATGTCTTTTTGGTAGATGATTATATGCTTTTATAGTTTCAGAATGACATGGCTCATGGTCCCAGAAAAGGCACAAATGGCTCAAAAGGCTTTTCCCAATCATCCAGCCCTTCCTCAATTGGAGTGGCCATACATTGGGGCCATCATTGGGGTGGTATACCCCATTCTCAGACACACCCTGATATCATATATGTTGTATCGCTGCTATCCCGACAAAATCCTACTCACTTCCCACTGATATCGATATTGTGCTCGGATTATATGATTGTATCCACCTTTCCCATATTCCATAGCAACATCTTCTGAGATTTTCCGGCATGGTCGACCTTTTTCTTTCTGGCCTCGAGGTAGAGATGCGGCTGGCAAAAGAAAACACCTCAGTGGCAATTCCCGAAATAACATGGCTCCCATAGGCACATCAGTGTGTTTGGGTCAAAAGCTAAACCCAAAGAACGACACATATGCAAAAACATGTTCATTCTGAATGCAAAACACATCCAAGTTCTGGAAAATAGCTAGTGGTATCAACATATTGTTGGTTGTAAGTCACACCCAGGTAGCTCCGTACCATGCAATATTCATAGCACCCTTTTTCTTGGCTCACCAAGGGGGGTACCTTCTGGTAAACTAACATAACTACGGAAAACCACCCAATTTTTAGGGCTAAATCAACTATAACTGGGCCATTTTCCAGTTCGCAAACTGTTAGTTTACCAGAGGGTAAATCCCATTAAAACCACCATTTTGTTGGTTAAACCACCATTTTTTACCACCATTAAACCACGATTAAACCACCAGAGGGTATACCTTTCACTCAGCCACAGATCGTCGCGGCAGTGAAAACATCCACCGTGGCCCACTTGGAGATCTTTTGCACCAGCCTCGCAAAAAATTAGAGCATCTGCTTCGACAATTTTTTTTTTTGCAATGGAACCCCAAAACAATGTTGAAAAGCTTACCTTTACCAAATACTATATATATATATATATGCGTGAATGTATGTTACTAAAAAATGTGTGTCTTTTTGGGAGGGATTGAGTTTTCCGCATTTTTTGATGGGGGTTACTATGGAACAACTCTAGCTGCCCTCTCATGATCCCATTGGAAAATAACATGCCATTGAGACCAGTTCCCTGAGAACTGGCAGCTATTTCACCATGTTTCACCATGGCTCCTCTATAATATACATATATACACATATGTATATATATTTAATATATATATATATAAATAAGTGTGTGTGTGTAAATATGTATATATATATATATATACGTATATTGTACTCAGCCTAGTGCTGTCATCTGGTGGTTCCAACCTCTGAAAAAGCACAACACGTCAATTGGAAAGGTTTTTGCCACAGGTAGCAGGGCAATCAACATATGGGTGTGTCCGAAAATGGGGGATGCCCCAACAATTGCTGCAAAAAATAGGGAACATACTGATAAACCAAAGGATTTGAGTGTACCATATTTTCAGAAACTCGCCCGCATTTGAAACCACCAATCAGTCATGGTCAGTCGGGTGTTTTGGCCCTTTGGGATCCAAGTGTTCTTTCGCACAGTCGGCTGCTGAAAAAATATTCCAAGGATTCCAACAGCTTCTGGAGCATGGAGGGTGATCGTAGATTAACATATAATATATCAAACCATCGAAAGTCAACCAATAGTGAATTGTTTTACCAACTAAATCTGGTGTTTATTTCCATATTCTTCATAGTTCAATCCTGAAACCCAAGGAACAAGCCATCTTGGGGATGGAACATTGGCCATGGCGACCTCAAAATGGCTTACCTCTATGCATCCTGATTTACCATGATTTAACCATCCCAAGATGCTGGTCACCTGTGAGCCATACCCAAAAGATTAACCCTGTCCGACCCGTCAGGATTCTGGTTGAACTTTTTTACCGTATTGCCCTGCAACCGACCGCCACATGGTTTTTCGGAACGTGGTGTGACTGTCAACAACCAATCTCCTGGCTCGTGGATTCAAAGGATCAGATATCAAACCACATGTGTAATTGTAATGGCATGAAATCTCGTGTCTGGGATTTCAAACAAGGGTCATGAGGCAATGAGCGGCAAGAAACGGCAAGACATCACCGACAACATGTGGCTGGTGCTTCAGCCATCTCCAGATCTTGCTCACCATCGAGGGGAGCACTCTTTCAGGGGTCAAACTGGGGGTTTGCCAAATTGGCATGGCTTAGTTTCGCAAAACAATAACAGGAGCTTTTGCAAGCAACTGAAACCATACTCATCCATTGAAGCCACGAAGCAGGAACTGGATATTCTGAACCCGGCTCTACAGCCACCTTGACCCAGTGCACGTCCGCCTTCTAGCGGTCTCCCGGGAGTTCAGTTGGTTGAGACTACCCGCTCCGAGGGACCAACCCCCGATGCAAAGAAACACCCACCGGTGGCACCTGGCATCTACTGAAGATGATCGAAGATGCAGGATTTTGCAGGCAGGTGAGACCCTCCGGTAATCAAATCTCATGTCCATCCAGATCTAAAAAATGAATTTCCCATTGAAACCCACAAAAACCTCGGACTTTAAATTAGTTTCTGTTCATGTTACCTATTCACTCTTTTCACTAAAAATGCTAGATTTTCCTAAACATAGATCCAGTTGCCATGAAAATGTCTGTTGCATCTGACGACCAGAGGGTCCGGCAAAAACTAAGAAGCACTGTACCAGTCCCTAAGCTGGAGGGATAGTAGAAAGACCTCCTCAAGCTGAGAGCCACTATCACTACCTTGACCTGGGGCTGTCAGGGGCGTGGAACCCATGCATGGCACAGATCCGGCAACATGTAATGTGGGATTTACCCAATGCCAGAAAGCAGCACCAAAATCACCAGTTTTCTGGGTCGAATTCAAACCATCCCCAAATGGTAGGTTTATGGCAGTTGGCTGCCCATATTGCATGTTTTCTTTCTAAAATACTGAATTTCAGATGGAAGCCCAACATTTGCCAGAAAATTGCTAAAACCGATTCTCCACATGAATGGAAAATCCAGAAGCATCTCCAAAAAAGGCCCAGCCCTAGAATCCCTTAGATATGCAAGCTGCTTTATAACTAATCAGCTAGGACGGCTAGGATATGTGGTGGACATACAGTTGAAAGAGTTGATCACAACATAGCTGGGAGTCCTTCTTGGAGTTCGTTCGGTACACCACAAATTCACACACCCCAAGAGAAGTTAAAATTGGTCACATCAATAATATTGATATCAATCTGAAAGATGAGTTTTCTCTTGGATGTTGATATAGCGATCCTTTGCCATCTTAAATTGAGGGCATAGGGCATAGTTGGTTCACTTTGTAAATTCACAGGGTGGTACACTCAATATTAAGCAGGGCATTAAGCAGGTATGGCCTATAATGGGGCTATATTCGGATTATTTTCTGCCAACCCAAGAGTACTAACCCCGGAGATTTTCTTTGGAGAGTGACAAGTGTGATAATAGCAACTATTTGCAACTATTATTACACAATGGTATCATCCAAGGCCAATATTATTGCCCGACTTGGGATCAGCATCCCCAAGCACTTTCACTTTCACGTCCTGCGCCCTGCATGCCAACCCGGCGCATCTCTCTCGGTATTGCACAGAGATAAAAATGAAACAACAAAGGTGAAAGAACAAATCTGAGACACTTAGGGCCTCCAATGGCCTCCATGTACCCTCCGGCAATTTAACATAGCCATGGAAAACGGCAATCTTTGATAGGTAAATTCCCCATAAACGTGCAATTTTCCAAAGCTATGTTGCAAGATGTTGTAAGGTGGCGCAGTTTATGTAGATTGGTTGATAACTAGGTCAACCATGGTTTACGATAGATTCCCGGTAGATATATCATGAGGATTCATGATATATATATATATATGTATATACGTATATAGTTAATGGCTGTTGCAAACCAACAAGCATCACCCAGGTGGCACCACCGAGTCTCAACTACCAGAGGATATATCCCAGATATAAGTTTCCAATCCATGAGGATAGCCCAAATCATCCAGTCGCCTTGGATGTCTTAGTGACTTGGTATAGGTTAACAGCCATAATGGTGGCGACTGGGGTTCTCCCATGACGAAACAGAAACCACCAGATGAGTCGCGGTCAAAAGCATCTTCCGGTGGAGCCACAATCAACTCTGAGGCTGTGACCTGACGCTCAAACAAACTGCGCTGGGAGACCGGTCATCGGGACCGGGAAACCATGGCGCCTTGACCCTTTCTTACATGGCGGCTTCTTGCCATGCAAATCTTCCATTTTCAGCGAAAAAATCCGACATCACACAGCCAAATTTCGCTTGGGATGAGGAGTTTTCAGCCCAAATCTGTGAATCCTCCAGCCCAACTTCATGCCTCGGTACGATGAATTTCTACTGGTTCAATCACGAATTGACCGGTTTGTACCTTCAAAAACCTGGTTTGTCATAGTATGTCATAGTTTATCCATCTTCTTGGCAAAATCGTACCTAACCCACCTGGTTACCTGGTTTCATTTTTTTTTCGGAACCAAGCTTTCGGCGAGGAACCAAAACAAGTAGCAGATACAGAAACACACACTTTCAAGATCTTTTTAGAACAAAGCTTTGCAGAAACCAGGCGAATTCAGATGGTTCCTCATATTCATTTTTCTGCCGAAATCTCAGTAAGGTTTGTGGCCACCACTATCAACTCAGCCCTCTTTAGCGTGTTCTCTTCCATTCTTGGCGCGCGGACGCTTGCCGACCTTGATTAAACCATGGTTTCCATCCCCGTCTATCCCCACACAAACCTCTCTCCACTGAAACAGTGACAAACTCGAACATTGCATTTCAAAAGAATGCAAGCCAAGGCGATATATATAATTGATTATAATTGAACAAATATGAATTAAATGCCATTTCGGAAAAAGCACCTATCTTTCGTTTTCGTGGTTATGTACCCTTCATTTTCTGTTGGCAAGCTTAAGGGTTCCCGTAATCTTAACGGTTCCGGGTTGTTTTTTTACCGTTCCGGCCCTGATTTTAACGGTTCCGGCCTGTTTTTTAACGGTTCCATAACGATTCCGCTCTCCTAATGTCTGAATCATTTTGACACAAATCATGGAGAATTGTTCCTCACGGCACAACAACCAGCCCTTGAGTCCCACAGGTAGTTCCCCATTGGCTCAGAATCATGTGGTCTTTTGTCTACCATGTTAAATGTGTATCTGCGCGGTAAGAAGGCCTATGGGCTGTAACAATCAGGGAGCATAACTAGGTGCTTCCACGGTTGAATCCCAACAAACTAATGGTTTCAACTGATTTGAGACATGTTTTCCTAAAGGTTAGATTCAAGGATCAGAAGCATATCATTAGATGGTTGGATGTTTCTGACCCGTCATTCCTTCAAAAATGGGTTCAACCTCAGAATGCATCGATTTTGACACCTGGTTCCGGAACCAAAGTTTGGATACCTAAGAGGCTGGTAACTGGGGCGGCTACCTGTCTCACAAGGACATGGGTGGCTTGGAGTTTATATATGTATATAGTATATGTGCGTTTTCTATGATCGATAATTCATCCTTTTTCTCGGCCTACCATTTAGATTTTTCCTTACTTGGGGGCCCTTAGGTTCTATAACCATAGTTAGAGTCAGAGGGGATATCTCCCTGGCTGGGCTTGAAAATCCCATGGTTTGTACCATGTTGTACCTCATTTTTCCACCTCCGGCGCCACCAGGGCACAGTGCGGGCAATCAAACTTCCGCTTGGATCCCGCAGGCGCAGGTCGTGCAGGGAGGACTCCTCAAAGCGCTGCACCCGCAGCCCGGATGATGGTAGGATGTGGCAGGCCTTCTGCACAGAGTTGTAATGGGATTTTTGTTGGTCACATGTATGATACTTAAACTGGTTTCTGAGTAGCTTAACAATAGTTTATGGTACTGTAGGTATATCTGTAGTAAGACGGGTCAATAAACCGACTTAGAACTGGGGGACACTGTTCAAGCAACAAAACACGATGGGTTGAAGTCTAAGTGAAATAAATTGATGATTTTAGGACATTGCTTCCCAATAGTTTGGCCATTTTGCGTTGATGTTTCAAAATGACTAATCCCATTGAAGATCATTGAACATGTGGTTCCCATTGATCAAGGGATTATTTCAAGGTGACTTTGTAGCAAAATCTACGAGAAAACCTGCGGGAAACCATGGCTTTTAGATCCAAAGTTTTTAGGCTCCCTGATCGCATCTCCTGAAATTCTGGGAATCCCAAGCTGCTGGTGCCCGCGGATAGTTAGATCAGTTGGATCTACCAGAGTGGACGGTCTTGCCACCTCTAAAGTGTTGGTGTCGTGAAGTGAATAACTGGTTGGTGGTTGACCTACCCCTCTGAAACATATGAGTCAATGGGAAGGATGACATCCCATATATTATGGAAAAAACATGTTCCAAACCACCAACCAGATAAATAATCCATTTGAGAATTGAGAACATCAAACCAATCATCATCCGCTTTTTCGGGACGTGCGTGCAGGATAAATCGATAAACTTTATCCATGCAAGGTTAAGTTGGTGCAAATATATAACTTCAACAACCTTTGGCAGATATATCGAATTTAAAAACCAACTATAAATATGTTTGTTATATAAAACTTGTTAACTATGGATTATTGATTGAGCAATATGGCTCTATTGATTAAGCATACTAAATTAATTATAAACCAACACAACTGGGGTGCCTCACCTTGTTTTTTTTTTTGCACCTGGCCAGGCTGGTGGTGCCAACCTTTCATGAATTGCCAATGAAAGAAGAGTCCTTGCCGCAATGATTCTCATCAACAATCGCAACACATTGTTTTGGACAGGTTAAAATCACCAACTCAATCAATGTGAGGATGATATGGATCAATCTGAGGACTTCAGGAATTTAGAACTGCCATTCGGGTGATCCCACATTGTTGAAGTTACAAGTCTTCTGTCGCTGCGTCGGTTTCTCGGCCCAGCATCGAGATGCTTCCCTGCCGCGATGGCATTGACCCGGTCTTGAATCCAGCAGAGGAGTCGCTTGCGAGCCTGCGATGGACCATGGAAGGAGATATGGATGGATGACATATATCTACTGGCTACATCTTCCATTCAATTTCTTGTATACTTCTAATTTTCTTAAAATTCTCCAACTTGCTTGTGCTTGGACCAAGAACTTCAACCCATCTTCAAGCCATCAGGACAAAATCAGTTTTAATTTCCACATTAGAAGCCATTCTTGAGGATGATTCCTATTTATTTCACCTATTTATTTCATCATAAGCACATTTTTCCACCATGATTTTCGTGGTGCGGTGGCGATACACCCAGGTCTCCCAGATCGCCCCTTCACGGAACGTCTCTCCTCCGGCTGAACCCATTCCATGAGGTTGGGCAAATAGCAGGCAGCTGCGCGTGTGTCGAAGTTGAACTCCGCCGCGTGGATCAGAAAGCCCTCGTCAAGACCTACAGGTTTCCGAACCGCCCAACATACCCGACATGGGAAACTAACATAGCTATTCAAAATGGACAATTTCTCGTTGATTTACATAGTTATGTTAGTTTGAGAATCCCAATATTCATGTGCCGTGATCAATTCCGTTTTCACCTTTGCGGATACTGCAGATACTGCTTGGACATGAAACTGCACAGCATCATCAGCCAACTGTGCATGATATATATATATATATATATGTGTAAACATATGTATATATATATATATTATACATATATATGGTTTTTGGTCAGTTTGGTCATCTCATCAATAGTAGGGCACCCTATACAATATTTGGATGTATTTGGAATATATAATGGACCACTTGTAGGGGTGTAATCCGTATATGATGTATATGGCTTAGATTAACAACCCCCAACTAGCCGTTTGACCGGTTGACTTGGAAAATCGGCCGCTCTTAGTCTTCAACCTCCCTATTAGGGTCTATGCTAGTTGGGCGATGGTATCGGTTTAGCCCCACTTATTTTTTTTTGGTCTCAGCTGGTTGAAACTGGACAATCCACGAAATAATGCTATCTGAATTTGGGTCCCCAGTTAATAGGGTAGCATAGCCCCCTGCAATTATCAATCAATACCAGGATTCTTGAAACTACTTAAGTTGCTTGGACCGGGCTTGGAGAAAATCCATAGCTTTTTTTTGTTAATCATGTTTTGCCAATGAACTTCCGTGGAAAAAAAAGGTTCTAGTCACTGTTGTTTTGTTGGACCATCTCGGAGCCTTGGGCAGTTTGCAGAGCGAATCTTGGGCAAATTGGGGTACCCTCTGGTTATTTAACATAGCCATGGAAAATGACCCATTTAGGGATTATTTTCCCACTAAAACCTCCATTTATTTAAGGGATTTTCCATGGCTATGTTAAATAACCAGATGGTAATTCTTGCTTGGATCAATGGCCAATGTGAATCAACCAGCCATGGAAACAGAGTGGGCATTTCCAAAATCCTGTTGGTCATAGTTCGTCTCCTTGATAGTGATCATTTCGATGCCGAAAAGTCATGGATCACTCAGTTCATCGCAGGCTGCTACCCATCTTCGGCATCTTGGTGTGGTGTTTGTTGTTAGATCCAACAATCGCAACATGCTGCAACCTGGCTGCTCATGGCATCAATGGTGAGCTTGATGTCTTCCAGCCCTGCCAGCTTAATCTGGCTGATCGACACCGAGTCGTCGATGGCACCTGGGCAAATATACCTCCTTTCACGGTGAGTTGGAAATCCTATCAAACATGGGGTGTGGTTAAGCCCGAAAACTGGCACTTGCCCTGAGAACATGTTGATTCGTTGATTAATATTGGGGTTTTGGACTCCAGCTACTTTAAGGTCGTAAAGAACATGCCGAAACCTGTGCCGTCTGGGCACCCCCTTGCATTCCAGGATGAAAAACGTAGCACCGGAAAGAACGAGTTATTATTTCATGACCGGCTAAATTTACCCCCCGGTCATGGCAAGAGATGGATAGTTCAAACAACTCAAGGCGTGACTTCGCGATCAATTTCCCGATCTTTGTACAGCTTCGGCCAAACTTTCGAGGAATATTAGCGTTTAAAAAACGCAATCGAACTGGGAAATAATGGCTAATGATATATAATTACTATGTAATACATGTCATCCCTAGCTGGAAAATCCGCAAAGTTGAAACCACCAACTCACTTCGCCTGCATACCTTGTCCTCAATAACCACAGAATTCTGAAGTTCTATCAGCACTTGAGCCAGATGGTCACTTGAGCCATCTCATCTAGGTAAATTATCATATTTCACCTGACATAAGGCCACTGATCTTCTCTTTGGCCAGCCCCCTTCCGCAAGCAAAGCCTGACATAAGGCCATTTGGGGATAATTACCCCTTACCAACAATTATTCCAGTGAGGTCGCAGTGAGGTCGTTATAATACTTTACCCAGATCCATTGCTTTTTCCCCAAGGCTTCTCAAAACCCAGGTGCTCTCAGATACCCGCGACTTGCTCTGCGACCCGGGGCATTTGCCCAAGAGAAACCTCCCATCCGATCCGCACACTTCCGGCACTTCCCCACAATGATGCCGAAATAGTGTTTCCCGGGATGGTATATATATAATATAGATAATGTAGATAATAGTGTATATAATATACATCATGCATAAAGTATATATAATTTAGATAATATAGATGATGTGTTCCTGATATTTTCCGGAACACATAATTTTTCTATCTTTTTGCGGGGTGCCAAAAAAAACAGAAAAATCCTTGAGAAATTTAGAGCTGCAACTATCTGCAGGTGTCACATATAACATGATGAAAGAAACTACGTACATCTATCTGTATATATATATATATACACACCCACACATACACACACTACACATAGAGTGGAACTCAACTATATGGAGGTTTCCTAAAATTGCCCGGCCCCACCTCATGTCATCGGCCCGAGCCATTTCCTTGGTCTGGGTCGTGATCTGAGTCGCTCCCAGCAAATGCTGAACCGGCACACTTCCGTCCTGAGCTCTGACACAATAGGGCGATATATGGCAGGTTTTTAGATGATTCACCTCTACAAAAAATGATGGTGTCATGGGTTTTCAATGGGAATTCCCCGAACTAAATGGAGGTTTTCGTGGGACAGAGATTGAACACATTTTCCAGCCAGCTATGTTTGACAGACTAGCACTAAAGTCACCCGAACTCGTTTGAGTGCCAAGTTCGCGGAAAAATGTGTTCATTTAGATGCACTTGGTATAATTCATGGGGTTCCGATGGGGGTTGAAATGTGGGATGGTGAGTGTTTTGTTGGTATAACCCCGGCCATCCACCACCACGCCGCCGTACTTGGATCTTTCCACTTAGTGGTTAGTAACTGGGGTTCTGCGCCGTTTAGACGTAGATTGTAAACCCGGCTGTGCTAACCTGGTCCTAAGTGAGACGATTGGTCTTCATAAATCTTCATAATGGAGCTCTGTGGGGATATGTGGAAATCTACTATTACATATTGATCTATATATTCTTATATAATGTTAATATTTGTTTTTACTAACCTTTAAAACACGGGGTCCAACAATAAAATCATCGTTGTGGGTTTCGATGGAAGGTGAAGTCAGGTGCAGGTTTTGGGGTTCGCCATGTCCGGTTTCCATTTGATGGTAGGTTTACCATGCTTGTTTCTTTTTCAAGCTTTTCCCCTGAACCATTCCATTGATAAACTCTTCTGCAAACTGACATAGATGTGGAAAACCCACCAGTTGTGGATCATTTTCCTAAAACCATGAAAAACCATGGATTTTCCACATCGTTTTGAATGTTTCTTCCAGGTTAATGTTGAGAAACCGCAGGCTTCACATGGCTGAAGCCATGGCTTAAGTCATCCGAGGATTCACGACAAGAATCGGGGTCCGAGTCCAGACTGGACGCTTTTTCGCTGTGAATTTTGACCTTGGCACAACTTGCAATGATATAATTATATATATATATTATCAACATTGAATAGATATATTATCTATATTATCAACATTGATATATCAACATCTATAGATATATGAATATGATATTCAAATATATGATGATATAAATTATCAACTAGACTATACCAATGATAAATTATGTGTTGCATATATGCATGTATATATGAATGTATGTACATACATGATCATACATGCACATAGCACACACACATTATATATGTATAACATAGTCCGTAGTTCGGGACCACTACTAATTAGGTCGTTGGGGATGTTTCAAGGTTGCAGCCGCCAGAAAACTCGGCTGGATCCATGTTCAACCTCAAACCTAGGACCTAGGATTTTAATGGATTTTTATTTCCACTCTGTGATTTGTTTATCTTAAGAATACCCTTTTAGAATCCCCTTGTGACATGCTATGTTCCCCACCATGGATCCCGAAAAAACGTCATTGGGGATCACAGTCCCAACCCTATAAGACCACCAACAAGCAATGTTTTTCGACTATAGATCCTCTTCCATAACCAAACTGACCAAACAAATCTTGGATACAGTATCCATCAGTATCCCATCATCTTGTCTAAAGCAGGATCGTATATTCATGTTCTATGCATAATTTCCTTCATGTGTAGCGAACGAAAGAACACCAAGTCTCTGTTTAGCTCCCAACTCTTCTCAATTTACTCAAAAAACCAACCATGCCATGGCTTGATCGTGGTGAATCCTCCCTGCTGCCAGCGGGCATGATATAATCTCACCTCACAAGAGCTGTCGACGAGATGCACCGACAAGGACCCCGCCGGTGACTCGTGGATCGATGAAGTCTGTACCACATCCACGAAACGCTGGCGATCTGCAGGACTGATGAAGTCCAAAAAGGACCGGCCCTCAACCTGCGATTTCACCGCAGGCGTTTGGGCCTTCGAAACTTTCCAAACCAAACCGCTGGATGCTAACGGGCACCATTTGGCTGGAAGAAATGGAACATTCTCTGGAGCAAAATGTGGTTTTACCATGGATTTTACCATGGAAAATGGAGGACAAGGGAGAGAATCTCCTCCAAACTTTTCCCAATCCCGGGTGACCCAGGTGACCCAAAAATGATCAGCCTCCAACCACAACAACACCCCAAAGATCAGGGGGCTTACTTCATGTTACCTCCAGGTCGAGTTTCAACATCTGTCAACTGGATCTTGGCCCTCAACCTCTCCAAGCTTATCAGTGGGACTTTTGTCAGAGAAATGTTCAAATGTTATCCTCAAAAATCATCCAGACATCTCAAATTGATCGATGCAGATCTGCTAAGCTGAACTGTCAGCAAGATGGCCCACCCAGACTTCGGAAGATGTTTTTGTTACGCCCGAATTGTGCCACACATTGTGCCACACCTTCACCAAAATCCACTCTGGGCAAAAGCAATTTATATTCAGTTGCATCCTTGTTGCTGGTGATATGTTTTAATTGTTCGATGATTACACCAGCGAATTCTGGAGAAACAACATTACACATGGATATACACATTGTCTGTTACAAGTCCCTCTACCTCGCATCATAATCAATATCAAATGGCCTCTTTGATTCCCCCTTGCATGTATACACGCATACATGTACCTGTACCATCCCAGTAACATAAACCTGCAAAATAGGGAGGTGGAAGACTAGTTTCATCAAAACAAGTGCTGATTGTGCCTATGTTGCTTCAGGAATCATCCCCGCTGGTCATATATGAATGGGAAGCCATGGGAAGATCCCCATTCAAAGCTCCACTCAAATGATGCTTCGTTCTTAATACCCCCCTTTTTGTTAACAACCCGCCAGTCACTCAACTCTCAACTCAATGGGCCGATAACTTGGGGGCATGGTAGTCATTGACAATGAACATATAAAGTTTGTTCTATATATATATATGTGTGGGTATAGTCCAGTCAAGAGATTAAAGCAATGTTTCAGAACTTGTCATCGAATTCACAGAACATATAGAAGTCGTCCCCGTTTCCAAGAAATTGTCCACGTTTCACGGAAGTTGTCCATGTTTCATAGGAGTTGTCACCATTTCACACGAGTCGTCATCGTTTCGCAAATCCCCTAATAGCGTTCGTGTTCAACTGCTGTGGAATGGATGGCTCTCGCTGGAAGCCCTTGACGATACGATCCATAATTCCAAATATATATATATATCCCATCAGCAATCATCTCGTGATATCCCGTTTTTATCCGTTTTTTTGGACTTCTTGATCCTAAAAAAGATCTTGGACAAAAGAATCCCTATGGAAAAATCCCAACGAAAACCAGCACTTTCTGCACCTCCAAAGCCTCAGCTCCCAAGATCTCCAGGAAGGCCCTTTCCGGCTGGGTGATTTCCAAGTTTTCGGTCAGCTGCAGCGAGGCGTCGCAGGTGACTTTCAGCAGCTTCCGCGCCGCGGCCAAGTTGGCTTCGGCCTCCCTGGTCTTCGCCTCCATCCTTATTAGCCGCAAGGGAGCGATGCGCGTTGGGTTGGATTTCGGAAAACACATGAATATGTAAATGTGATTAAATGTGTATGTGGTTGTTGTGGTTTTGTGGTTGTGTGGTTGTGATAGCCGTGTTACAACGTCTATAATTACCTCCGTGTGACACTGTGCTCCCGTCCGCTGGGCAGAAAAGAAAAGAGATCCAACTGGCCAGCCCGCAGCCCCGGTGCGACAGGCATCTTCACGGTTGCCATGACCTTTTCACGCAAACTGGCGTCCAAATAGCAGCTGGAGATAGCAATGAAAATCAGGATGTGACCTTCCTTCGTGGTTCGTTGATTTTTGAACCCTTGCCGAGTTGCTGGAACTTTGGCTCTGTCTATGGGTATCCAAACCCCCAAAAACATCATAAAGCAAAAATCCGAGATCTATATGGCTTCCCTATGGTGGTTAAATGTGGTTAACATGGTTAACTAACATGTTTATATAACTACTCTATCCATTCCTTGCCAGCGTCATTGGTGCAATTCAGCAGGAAGCTGGTCCAAGCGAAAGGCACAGGGCTCCCAGGGCTCCCAGGGCTCCCAAGTTGCAGGGCCATCTGAATGGGCGACAGCAGCAGGTTGATTTTCAACGCTTGAGAGGGATCCAAAAACCTGGCGGAGGGATCAGCCGTGCCAAGGTTCGGGACCCGGCAAAGTATCAGCTGCAAAATATAGACTATGAGCAAACATCTATCTATCTATCTATCTACCTATCTACCTATCTACCTATCTATCTACCTACCTATCTACCTATCTACCTATCTACCTATCTACCTATCTACCTATCTACCTATCTACCTATCTACCTATCTACCTACCTACCTACCTACCTATCTACCTATCTACCTATCTACCTATCTACCTATCTACCTATCTACCTATCTACTATCTAACTACCTATCTACCTATCTACCTATCTACCTATCTACCTATCTACCTATCTACCTATCTACCTATCTACCTATCTACCTATCTACCTATCTACCTATCTACCTATGTATCTACCTATCTACCTATCTACCCATCTACCTACCTATCTAGCTATCTACCTATCTACCTATCTACCTATCTACCTATCTACCTATCTACCTATCTACCTATCTACCTATCTACCTACCTACCCTATCTATCTACCTATCTTACCTATCTTACCTATCTACCTATCTACGTATCTAACCTACCTACCTACCTATCTACCTATCTACCACCTATCTACCTATCTATCTCCGATCCTCCTAATCTACCTACCTCCCTATCTACCTATCTACCTATCTAAACGATCTACCCTCTACCTATCTACCTATCACTATCTACCTATCTCCCTATCTACGTATCTAACCTATCTACCTATCTACCTTAAAAAATTTCCCTACCTACCTATCTAACCTATCTACTATCTAACCTACTAACCGATCTACCTATCTACCTATCTACCTTATACCTATCTACCTTCTACCTATCCTATCTAGGCCTATCTACCTATCTACCTATCTACCTACTACCTACCTACTATCTCTCTACCCCCCCTTACTACCTATCTCCTATCTAACCTATCTCCTGATCTACCTACTACCTTAAAAATCTACCTATCTAGCTACCTTCTCCTATCTACCTATCTATCTATCTATCTACCTATCTATCTACCTATCTACCTACCTATCTACCTACCTATCTACCTATCTATCTATCTGTCTTCCTATCTACCTATCTACCTATCTACGTACCTATCTACCTATCTACCTATCTACCTATCTACCTATATACCTATCTACCTATCTACCTATCTACCGATCTATCCATCTATCCATCTATCGATCTATCGATCTATCGATCTATCGATCTATCTATC